TTTTCCTTGCTAATTTTCCACTTGAGAATATATGGGATTTCTTACCAACGGCATAACACATGAACAGAATAATAGTTTCATTTGTCCAGTGATTAATTTGACATTCATTATAAATAGTCACAGTGGTTGTAGAATTTTAAAAACTTTTTCATCCTACATAGAAAAGATACTGATATCTCAAACTTTTAATCGACATATTTCTATTTACGTTATGAAATTAGAGTAAAATTGACAAAAATTGATAAAAAAATTAGTAAAATTGCCATACCAAAGGATGAGGTATTACTTGTTAAAACAGATTTTGCTTCAATCATTAATATCGGCAAACATGGTTTGCTAGAAATCTTTTTCTTCTGTATGTTTAAAATTGAATTCTTTTTGCAAAATGTTTTCAAAATCAAAGTCCAAATAGCTTAAAAAACATGATCATATACCTGGGCATTTGTTACAACTTTTCTTGCAATTTCTCTCCATAAATCGTTTGTAGGTGCTATTTGTACAGAATCCAGACTGTGCCCATCTTACACAACTAGTGTGCTTGTCACTGCAAGCTAAATGTTTGTAAATTCAAATATTTGGTCAATCAAAGAATTTTCAAAATATCGACATATAATCTGATTTTTTCTCTGCTTTTTGCATACTTATATATGTGTCAATAAAGTCAAAACGCAAATTTTCACTGTAAGTTTCAGGATTTTCATATAGATCAAAATACAACTTTTTGCAGACGAAACGATTTTTCTTGCATTGATAGATAAATGTCAATGTATTGATAAAGCTAGATCACCTGGCACGGTTGTTGATGGCACTGTAGTTGCACCTAGGAAAAATGAACGATAAAGAATTTTTATAGAGGTTAGACGTTTTTAAATATTAAACATAGTTTAGAATCTGTGAGTTGGTAGAATAAACATATTCCGTTTTTCCTTGCTAATGTTCCACCTTAGAAAGTATGGGATTTCTTACCAACGGCATAACACATGAACCGAATAATAGTTTCATTCGTGCAGTGATTAATTTGAGATTCATTTTTAATAGTAACAGTGGTTTTAGAATTTTAAAAACTTTTTCATCCTACATAGAAAAGATATTGATATCTCAAATTTTTAATCAACATTTTTTATTTATGTTACGAAATTAGAGTAAAATTGAGAAAAATTGATAAAAGAATTAGTAAAATTGCCATACAAAAAGATGACGTATTACTTGTTAAAACAGATTTTGCTTCAATCATTAATATCGGCAAACATGGTTTGCTAGAAATAGTTGTCTTTTGTCTGCTTGAAATAGAATTCATTTGTCAACATGATTACAACTAATTTGAAAAACATTTTTTATACCTGGGCATTTGTTACAACTTTTCTTGCAATTTCTCTCCATGAATCGTTTGTAGCTGCTATTTGTACAGAATCCAGACTGTGCCCATCTTACACAACCAGTGTACTTGTCACTGCAAGCTAAATTTTTTTTTTAATTTGAAACTTCGGTCAGAAAATTCAAATTTTGATATATAACCTGATTCTTTTTGCTTTAAATATTCTATGTGCGAAATAATGACAAAAGCATGTTTACACTGTAATTAAAGAAATTTCACTCATTTGCACTATCAAGAATTTTTCTTACATGAAGCAGTTGTTGCCGGCTTGGTTGGAGCAGCGGTTGTTGCATTTCCTAGAAGATTTATGCATTTTTTCAATGCTGAAAACAGGATATTATTTGAAAGTATAAAAACATAAAAGTCTCGCAGCGAGGTATCTAGCTATTGCCACTCTTCTGATTCGTTTCTTCTTCACAGAGAAAAAGGATTTATTATAGACTATTAAACCATTGTGCAAAAGAGTTTTTGTACCTTATCTAGTACCTTATTTTGTAAAACGAAGAGGCCCTAACTATAGATCTCGATATTTACAATAAAGAAACACAGATCTTTCATAATATTTACGTATTCGGCTATGATTTTATTGTAACTTGGATTACCGCAAAGGCCACATGTCTCTCTGCAGCTCTTTTCCATCCATGATTTGTATCCGTCTTTGGTGCATAATCCAGCCTTTCCCCATCTTGTACAATTACCGATGTACTTGTCCTTGCAGTCTAGAAAATCGATCGTTTCCAGTATAATGTCAGCTAAAAAACAACTAACTGGTTAACAAATTGACTAAAATTGAAGAAAAAGCCGGGTCAAAGACTCTAGTCTTAAATCTGGTTACCTCATTGAAATTCACATCCTTGTATTTTAAAGAAATCACTTCAAACATTAGGCCGATTTTCCTCCACTCCATTGAAACAACAAAATGATAATGCCTAAAAATGTACTTCTCTTATTTTTCCCAATGCTAGATTTTTGCTTTGCCATCATGAATTCAAAGTGAATAAAATGGTCTTCATAGAAAATTTAAATCAAAACAATTTTCGACCGATGAAAACCACCTTTCTTTTTGGAATGTGTTTGAGAAATAGAACTAATTGTAAATATTGTCATGTAAAGCTTAAGCAATAAAGAATGCCTTCTTTCTGCAAAATCAACTTATTAAATGATAAATAAACTCAAGTGATAATTGTTATTCATACCGCTGCTTGTTGTAGGCACTGGTTTTTGTGTGCTGGGACGTCCACCTAAATCACAAAGATGATACCTAGATCATGAAGTAAAATCATCGACCTTTCTCTGCCTTTCAAAGTATCCATCTCTTTAAGTAAGAGCTTACTAGATCAGAAGAGTGCTCATACCACCTACCATTAGGTTAAGTGCCTGTCTAAGAACCAAATTTCTATGGAATTTGTCTTGGGAACAAACAATTCATAGTAGGATGACCTGTTTTATTTCTTGCTGCTTTTGCCTTGTAAGTGGAACTCCATGCCAAAGGCGAGTGTCCCAGTCATTTTGAGACATGTTTCAACTTCAGCACTACGTTAGGAATGTACATTAGATATTGTAAGTAAAACCATGTAAGTCCATCTGAGCCTATCCTCAGAAAAAATTAGCATCTTTTGTCACTATCCTCTATACAGAGTAATAATTTAAAAATAGCTATTACTGATAGGCGTACTCAAGGAGAAGTTATGCTGATACAAGTCTACCAATGACAAAATGAACAAAAAGGAAATTGATACTAGCACTTCTATTTCATTGTCAATGCAAAATCAAACTGCTATAGAAGGACGACTGCGGAAAAGTGCGTTGCCCAAAGAGATTTGAGACTAGTAAATGATTTTACAACCCTTTAGCAAACAGACGACGTTTCCGTCGGACTTTGTAGATTTTTCAAATGCCCTTTTAAAAAGTATTACTTGCGTATGATTGATAGAGAATAAAGATATCAGACCTGAGCAATAGAGAAGGTTCATCTGTTTGACATCGTACTGACTGAATCCTCGTCTGTTACCAATCACATTTTGCTTGGAGGCATCTTTGGTTTGAATGGTAATCTTGCCAGATCCAAATGCAGTTTTACCATAGTGCATAACACTTTCGTAGTCATAGGGAACGTTCATGCTGTCAATGTTTGAGGATGACTGCTTTCTGAAGTTGTGTTCCTTTCCTTTCCAAAATTGAAATTATTAGTAAAATGAGAGTTGAAAACAGGTTGCAAGGCCTCCGACGAAAGGGGAGGGGCAGGAGGGGGGTATGGCTCCTTCACTTTTTTTGCAAAACAATAGAGCTTTTTTTAAATCTTTTGATATGATTGTTATATTGCTCTTGGCCCCTCCACTGTCCAAGCTGCGTCAAAGCCCATGGGTTGAATCTTTTACTTCATGTTATATTATCAGATTATCACCAAAGAATGATTGTGACCTTCTAGGGCATTGCACAAAGTTTTGCTTCCATCAGAAGAATTGATAAAATCATAACAGATACACCCAGAACTAGGCCTGATAGGAATGCACCTTTTTATAGAAACCTGGCCTTCTGCGAGAACTTGCTACATAAGTTTCTATGGCATTTTTTGTGCCAAATACTACATTAATTTTTATATGGTAGGACAATTGCCAAGGAGTTTAGCATTGTCAAAAATTGACAAATTTGACCACGGATTAAATGAAAAGGGGAAGTGTTTGCATCTATTTGCAATATATGCTTTGCAAGATAGACAAGTTGTTTAGCAAATTCATACCAGTGGCAATGTTGTTCCAAAGGATAGTGACGTAATTATCTCTGTCTGGCCTGCTTTGCTCGTGGTAAAACCCTAGACTGTGTGCAATCTCATGCATAACGATGCCTTTGTACCAACATCCAGAAGCTAATGAAATTGTGTTTGCTCTGCGGTAGTAGCCAACAGGTGAAGAGCATCTATGTAAAAAACAATACTTTACGTTCAAAATGATACTTGCGCAGTTTAATTGAAACCACTGACCATATATGCAGTTCGTTTTTGCCTGTTACTTTATTATTTTCTATGCTTATCGTTGAGAAGATGAATGATGTCATTGCAATGCTATTGTTCAAAGTTAGTTTAACCTCTACTTTTTTCACTTTTCTCTCTTTCCCGTTGGCCTTTTTGCTCAAAAATGAAAAATTTCAATTCTTTTTAGTGCTTTTCAAAACTCTGCTCCTACTGCAGGTAAATTATTTCTTTATGAATTGTACTCTACATTTGCATAGAGATCTTAATGTGTTACTATTTGAATAATTCCGTAAGCCTATATACACGATGCGAATTTTTTTCGTGCGAAGTGAATTTTTTCGCAGTGAATGCATAAAATTTAAGCGTAGAGATTAGAAAGTAGAGATAAGAAAATTTTCTTTGAATTCTTAGCAAAAAATGCATTCAAAAAGGTACCAGCCATTCCTACTTTTTTTCGGCGGAATTATTCGAGTTGTGAAATGAACAAATTTGAACAGCACTTCCATTTTGTTGCCTGATGGCCTACGTCTTTCCGCATTCATTTTCTCAAAAAAGCTTATATACCACGTCATTGAAATAGGTTGGTAATTATTCATTTCTTGTTCTTTGTACACATTCCATTTAAGGGGATTCAGATTAAAAAATAATCCAAACATTTGAATTTTAAATTGACGAAAACTGGCTTGAAGCTCTGTCGTTATATCAATATAATTCAAATAAACGATTGGCAAGAATTTCTTCAAAACGCTGAAAAGTAGAGTGCTCTTTTGCCTGGTCAACAGCAACTATTTGAGCGACTCAAGTTTTACGGATGCACCTTAATAGAATGTCGCATGTATGTGCAAGTTTAGATGACGACATTCGAAAGTTTTTGAAGAAGTATTTCTGGTCTTGTAAATGTAATTCCCTTGCCGAAATACGAAACTCTCCCTTTGAAGACGTTCTGAATAAATTTTCCTAACAAAGTAACCCTAATTGCTCTTTTGCTCTTTTCTTAATAGAGTTTACTTTCAAATTTTCTTATAGCAGCACTCTTCGAGCAGTTGCTATGTTCTTTTGCAATATTTGCAGCGAATTTGCATAAAAATTTCTGCCGGTGGAAATTGAGCTTCTAATTCGAGAAAAATTTGGCACCCAAAAATTTTGTGGCGAAATATTCACTTCGCGCAGAAAATTGTTCTCGTTATCACCAGGTTTCAGGTCTACATGATACCAACGAGTTAAAAATTCAATTTAAGATAACTGTCAATGGTGTAATCTAATTTGACTATTGCCAGAAGTGATTGATGTCGATTTAAGTGATGCAAGTAAGTGATTCAATCTATTCTCACCCGCTTCCCTGGTAAAAGTGGAGATAGCCAAGCTCGTTGGTTCTTTTCACGAATCTTAAACAGGTAAGGTTTTGATAGTCTGCAATCGCAGCGTTGATTGCTGACACAGCCCTTGATGACGAAGCTTTGAAACAGAATATTTATCAATATTACCTAAAACCATAGCAATCACGCATAACATTGCTATATCAAAATGGCCTCTTTTGCAATATTCTATTAAAATTTATAAATAAGACATGTTATTATTTCCAGGTTATACGTTACGAAATCAAATTATCATGTCTTTAATAAATTTACCTTTAGGAAGCAAACAATACGTGTGCTAGATAAGATTGTGTTCACGAATGAATAGCATTGGATTAGAATTAATTGAAAATGAAAAATGTCATTAAGTAACTATACAAAAAAGTCATAGATAGAGACAAAAGAACTTGAAAAACATAGTGCACAACATACCAATAGAAGACTCCATACTGTATGGTATCGTGGTAGGCCACAAGCTTGTCTTTGTTGCTGCAAGAGGAATCTGGTAGTTGGGAGAACCGTATAGGAAATCTTGCTTCTGTTCCTCAGTAAGGATCATGTCACCTTCAAACATGCCTGAATCTGGAAAAACGAGAAAAGCAAATCTAATTACCTTTATTTAAGCTAGTATGTCTTAAAAGGTTCCTAAATGTAACAAATTAGTAATTTGTTTTACAGATCGGACTTGACAAGGAAATATGCAATTTCTAAATTCTACTATTAAACGACAATTCGATAGGTTCTTAAAAGACTGAACACAAAATTCTTTTGTCAGCTAAATAGCAAAGTTTTTTAGAAAAAAAATTTCACAATGAAAGTTTTTGAACTGATCTAAAATAAGTTTATTTTGTGTAAAAGTATTCATTTGACTTTTGTTTCGTCTTGTCAGTGGATTATGAAATTTGCAATTCTTAAGCAAAAAATGGCAATCAGTATTTTTATATCTTTGTTACTATTGAGTCATTGCTAAATATCTTTTTAACTAGTCTGCACCTCAAGGTATGTCTTGGGTTTCAGAGACGAATGCTTCTTGGCTTACAATGAAAACCATCTGAAAAATTATTTTTAAAAATCAGCAGTGATAGACTAATAAGTTGCCAAATAATTAAGGACCATACTTACTTTCCATGGGCTCACTGCAAAAAGCTGCAGCAGCACAAAGGCAAAGTACAAGCCAAGAAAAAGCTGCCATCTTGAGAAAATTCTTTAGACTCCAAACTGCTAAATGAAAGAAACACCTTCGGTGCCTATTTTTATACTGGTTTTGTTTGCAGAGTCTTCGAGAAGATTGTTTGCTTATTGTATTTTTCAGAGTCTCAGAGAAACAGTAGAAAAAGAGAAAAAATAACATAGTAACCAAGGGAATCAAAAAATTGTGTATACAGGTTGTAGTGACTGTTGTCTTTATCGGCGAGCTACTTCAGAACTAGCCTATTATGTTCCAGCTCTGTAAACGAAGTGCGTGAAGTGATTGGTAAGCAGAAGGAAATATTGCATGATGTTTATATTTGGATTTGAAAATTAAACCCTTTCTCTAGATTTTCAGTTTATTGAGAACTTTACTATTCATATTCAACTGGGGCAGATATTGGGATTATCATCAATGTATTAACTTGTTTTTTGTCATTTGTGTTCTTGGGATTTAACTCTGCTTATAGATGCTTTTTAACCTTAATTTGCTCTCGTGCAATTCTCATCTTAATACAAGTGTCTCATTTGGAAAAGAAAAACATAGCCCATCCAATCTATTGGCTTGTATTTTTTGCAAATATCTATCTAGCTCCAAAGGTGACTATTAGGATATTTAGATGCTTTGCTTATCGAGCAGTGTCCTTGTCTTTCTAATTGATATGATGTGAATCCAGTTGCGTAGCCTTAAAGTTGAATTCACATTACAAGCGGCGCGTCGCGACGCGTCACACAGCGTTTTTCAAGAATTCAGGGCATCTATTGTGATGTTGACTTGAAATAGAAAAGTTTTGCTAAGTTTTAGAATAACCACTATCATATAGCTAGTAATGAAACCTTTTTTTAGATTAAAAAAGTACCCGAAATAAGATGGGAGAGAAAAATAAATGAAACACCGATTAATAAAATAAATTAACGTTGAAATATCAACAGAAGAACTATCAACTAAAAATAAAAAGTTAAGCAATACAGTTACAGTTACGTACAGTTACGTACGTAACGATACAGTTACGATATAACTTTGTAAAATATGATCCTAACTTTTTCGGAAATGAAATGCTTTATTAAAAATTTGGAAAACCATTAAACTGAGCTTGTCAAAATGAGTTTGAATAGAATGTATAATTGCGTCGATGTTATCTCTTTCTTAGTAGGAATGGCTTATCCAAACGATCAAACTCTGAAGTTTTCTTGATGATACTTTTTAAGAACAAATCTGCCCATAATTTAATTCTCATATTCTCAAAAAAGTTCTTTCCAGCGGTTTCTTTTCCTTAAACAGCTGATTTCTCTCTACTTGTGATGTATCTGAGAACGTTTTTGCGAACAAATAGACCTTGTGTGCCAGCTTTAGGCAATGAAAAGAATCAAAACTCCATCAATTTGTGCTGTCGACAAGTTATTCTGGACTAGGATTCTTGATCTATTTACTCGTTGTAAAACTTAGATAATGACCATAGAATAACTAAAAAGGTATTTATGTCATGAACCATAATATGATCGGTAGTTAATTTTCCTCTTTACTAAAAATTCTGCTATCGGGCAGCATTTGCAAAATCTGGAAAACCCAGATTGTGCAAAAAACTATAATGGCGACACGTTTCGGATTATTGGTAAAGCCCGATCGTTGTTCCACCTAGCAGTTTTGGAATCTATCTACATAAGCACGAAAAAACCACTAGTGTCTAGACAAAATGAGTTCGTTTTAACCTTGGGACTCCATTGGTAACATTCTCAATAGGTACTGATTGGTCAACCTCAACAGTCATGTGCTCGTGTTTCTGATTGGCCTATTTCGATCCACAACTGGGTATATATATTTCCTAGCGTAGAGTTTCCCGTCAATGTTCTGACGTTTTAAACTCTGAAGAGTATGAGACGAAAAGCTTTAGTTTACTAAATGTTTGCTTTTTTCAAAGCCATTTTCAAGTTTTGTACCACTAAAAGGTAGTTTATTTTTAATCTCTCTATGCTTTAAAATGATATGATATATGCCTTATTTAGCGATTTGTCTTTAGATGTGTTTCTTTAAGTTTCGCTTTTTTTATGCCTGACAATTAGCAATTATATTCAAAGAAAAGGAAAGGGTGGAAACTAAACCAAATTTGGAGTAATCTGTCAGTTAGGAAACCCGTGCAGGAAATTTAGTTTATTCGCATGTAAAGATCAAATCATCCTAAACTATGCATTTCTACTACATTCTATAGCGGCACTCTTTTGCATACGTTTTTGATAGCATCCGAAACTGTCGAATAAATGTTTGAACGTTTAAACAACAACAGTGCAAAGACAGAAAAGAGCTGCTTCCTTGGCATCAGTTTGTGATTAAAGCTCAGGACTAGAAGTTCTCTTTCATTGTACTGGAAATCCCTCGTGCAACCAAAATACTCTTATGCCAGGAATTTTTGTCATTTGTGATTGATATCGATTAAAGGGACTGGGTCACGTGTTAGCCTGCGGGACAATGTTGTTCTGATGATGCTTGCGAATGGGGTGGATCCATCACAGTAACTAAAATGAGATTTGGTATGACAGAGAATCGCAGCACATCGACGAGATTTTAACATCTTTTGTTGCTAAAAGTTTTCTTCGTCGTTGCCAAAGCTTGATAGATTGATTTCATTCAGCATCATTCCTTTGATAAGTCCATGAAATTAAAACCGTTTGTACTGCAGCGGGATGAGGGGACAGCACAAAAGCATCTTCCTGTGGAAGTACAGGTTCATGAACAGGAAAAATTGATGAACGTGACGGTTTAAGAATGATTCAGATTTGGCAGCATTGCTGCAAGCATCAAGTTTTCACGGTCTGCCATTTTGTCAGACACTCCGCTCTGACAATTGGTAAACGAAATCCCTCTTACACGCAGACTGCCCCGCATAAAATGGTTGTTCACGGTTACGTGATCCAGTCCCTTTAAAAAAGCCTTTTCTAAAGAAGATTGCCTTAGGGCAGCTTTGCAAATATTATTCTCAAATTTTCAAGTCATTTTTTGCATAAAGAGGGTAGATTTTGTACCTTTTTTGGAAAAAGGTTTGTTCGGAACACATTACTAGATACTGAAAACTAAGCCTGAGTTCATGAAAGATATATTAAGGGTATTTCTTCTATAGCTGTTTAATTTTTCTTTTACTTTGTTGAGGTTGCTCTTTTCATTGCTGCTCAATGCCATTCTTTATTGCATTTATTTAACAAGCTAGGGGCCCTGACGGTGGGTTGCCCAATGTTAATGCAAAGCGAGCTTCTCCGCATCCTAGTGAAGTCGACCTGGAACCCAGCATAGATAAATACAAATACCATCCCAGCATTCTTTGGCAATCTACCATTGCATACGGAAATTCTATGATTTCCAATTGTATGTAACGGAATGATTTGCTTGATCTCAGGTAGGTTGGATATAAATAATAACTACTTTGGAAAAGTTTACCAATCAACTTTACAAAGCTTTTTAGCCTTTTATTTTGAGAAGCATAGTTCTTCTGTTGATATTATAATGTTCACTCATTATTGCTAAGCAGATAAAACAGAGTCGAGTAACGGCCCAAAGTTACCTTCAGTTAAAGAACAAAGGGTCCCAACCTTTAGGATCCCCAACAATATTGTTTCTCTTCACTGGGCTTAAACCTATGAATGTTGTAAATATTTAAATTCAGTTTCAGGTCATCCCTAGCATGTAATAGTTCCAAACCGTTTCTTGTCACTAGCAATGGCGATGACCTTTACAAAGCCCTTGATCTATGTCAACATCTGAAGGATGTTTCATCAGCCTTGATGATAGAGTTGTACCAAGGCCATACTCTTCTAGGGGGCGCCAAAATTGGTACAATGTAGCCACTTCTTTGCCACTTCACCACTGCTTTACATTCTACTAGTTTCCAAAGGAATTGCTAGCATTGGCCCTCGCCTAACCTCCTCCCCTCCCCAGATTTTTATAGCCAGATTCACCGCTGGCAAAAAATGTCGATCACTTAAAATTATCAAGAGGAAGAAAAGTATTTTAGCGGACAAATTTCTGATCATATGTATTCTTCAATAACCTTTCAGTATAGTCTTTCAATAGTTTTACGGAGTTAAGTATAGGAGTGGTGGTTTATGCCTTGAAGTTCATCAAGGACAGATAATAAAATAAAGGACGAATCAAAGACAATATTTGTGATTTGCTAGGATAAATATTCATAATTGAAATGGAGTAAATAAATTATACTAGTCTATTAATATGTTGATATCTGTTGATCGATCCAGCTTCTGAATTTGGCAACTCTTGCAAAGACACTGTAACCCACTGTTGCATCACAGCGTCCAGATCCCCAGCTCACAGCGCTATGGAGAACCCAAGAGGCATTGGCTCCAGTTTGGCACACAAATGGTGCACCGCTGTCACCATGGCATCCACTCACACGAGTTGTCCCTCCGTGACCAGCACAAACCATCTTGTCAGTGATCTGTAAAAGAGAAAAGTCATAGAAGCGTCAATCATATGCTGGTGCTAGCGACTTCAGATTGAATGCCTTTACACAGAAGCGTGATCCAAAAAAGGATTCAATAATGAATTACTGCATAAAGGCAATGTGGCACTGTGAATAATTTAAACGTACCGAAATTCCGAACTTTTTTGTGTTGAGATTGGTGCATGCTTGATTGGAGACAACGGGCATTTTGCCTTGCTGTTAAGTGTGGTGCATGTTGCCAGGGTGCGGTATTTATCCCCATCCTTAGAGAAAAGTAAGAGCAAATCATATGGAAATCGACTACTACAGTATATGTTTTTCATCAGAAGTAGAACGTCTATAAGAAATACCGGTTCTGTTAATTCAACAAGGGAGCGTTGTTTACCAGTTATAGCCATCGTTTTGCTACTGCTTCTCTTCATAATTCATAATAACATGCCGTCCAGGAATAATGTTGCATTTCAGGTTCCCAGTGGACTGAAAAATAATGCATCCTTCAATTAATTATACCTGTGATGAAACAATTAGTTCCAACTGGGACATTTTGGTCTTGTCCAGGCAAACAAACTGGCTTCACGTATTTTCCAAACTGAATTGGCGGACAGATTTTCATCAATGCAATATCGTTATTGATTGTGCTTCTTGAGTAGCTTGGATGGGAAATGATCCTTTCAACCTGCATATCAGTATGTTGTCCATCGCTTGTTGTTGACGTAATATGCTCTCCAACTCTATCAAGATAATATGCTCACAGGTATTAATAAATTCATTCGCTTTATCGCTAGTTCCAACAAAAATATGTTCTTATGCTTTAACCTATAACTGTATATGATAGGTTAGAATGTAATTGAGTATTTTTTCAAATGAAATGAACTCTAAAAATTTGTGAAAATGCCTCGATTTGTATGGCTTCGTAGAGATTATTTCTATAATCCTATCATGAAAACTTGAAATGGCTGAGGTCTAAAAAATAAACGAGATTGAAGCAAAAGAGCTCCCAAATTATGTTAATTACTGCCAGTATTTATTGTTCTGAATAATTCTACTAGGGTTGTGATATGAAACTTGTAAAGAAACAATCAATACTAACTTGAGGTTTTGGTCCATTGAGTGTGCAGGTTTGTAATCAATATACAATGAAGAAAAAACTGCTATATTTTAGACATAAGAAGCCTGTTTTCTCTCTCCTATTCCATTCGATATGTTTTCCATCTTTTCCAAAATATTGTTCATGTGGCCTATTTTCTATTTATGTTGAACAATTTATAAATTTTCAAAACGTCTTGGGATTTTACCTAACTTTGAAGTAACGTGCGTAAGACTCCCTCCCAGATACACAATGAGCCACAGTGACAATCCATTAAGGAGCAATTATAGAGCCACCACACATTGTTCTCCTATTAAATAGCATGAGAATTTGCCAAGGCCATGATCCTCTGTTAGCATTTTGACCAGCAATGACTCTGCTCTGGGCAACTTCTGGTTTACCACAAGTGTCTTTAACAATAATATAGAAAAATCTACAAGTTACCGTGGAACACAGATACGTGACACAAATTATTGAAACGAACAAATATTTTTGTTCAAGTAGATTTTTTTCTTTGAAAAGTTTTGAAATATTTTTAAAACTAAATAACACAAATATAAAACCAAGCTGACAATGAAAATTTATTGAAGATTTTTTATCCATTGTGAATTGTAACATTCCCAGTATTTGCATGGAGACAGCTCCATACTGGAAAGCAAAAACATTATTTTTTTTCAAATACTTATTAAGTACTCTACAAAATTAACTAATGCAACCCATTAAACTAAAAAATTTGCAGCAAATTGTGAAACTACTTTGCAGAAAGCAAAAAACTCATGCTAATACAAGGTAAAATAATAACATCTACTTTTTCTTATTTCAGTTTAAATTTTGCAGTTAACATGTTCAAAAACTATGCTACGATGCTAAAAACAAACTTAATTGGTTGTGGAGGAGCAACAGTAGTATTACCTACAGGAGAAAGTATACTGAGTGAAAAAATCATCAAATAATTAAAAAAAATCTTCTTTTTACCCTCCTCTAGAAAGAAAATAGGCGCGTTTCTATTGTGTCTTAAGTAGGTTCCTATCTCAGCCCTAGAAGTGTCCGCCTTCGACAGATTTCACTGTACGTACTGGGTTGTCTAATGCATTGTTGGAAAATGTGATTGCTATTGAAATGTGGTTTAATTTGCAAGCAAAGGAAATGCATAATTTTTTTCATTTGTTTTTATATATTACTTTAGCAATGTAGCGTTAATAACATTGATTTAAATCTTGAAAAACATCAATTTAAATCTTGATGCATAAACATAATTCAATTTCATGTCTAAAATGTTTATAGCTACCACAGTGTCCACACGACAGCTTGCAGTTTATTGCCATCCATGCTTTACATTTGTCCCATGTGCACAATCCAGCCCTTTTACAAGCCGGACAATTGGTCACATAAACATCTTTGCAAGCTGATGAAAGTGGTATTGGGAATAAGTCTTGTTAGATACTTCGGAGAAAGTACTTTGTAAATGTGCAAAAGTGGATATTTTTAAAAGTGTGCTATTTTAGTAACATACTTTGCTTGAATCACAAAAATATCTATGTTAATGAAACTAATTCTAATTCAACACTTTTCTAATCAATCTAATTAATCTAGTTAAGTTTCTGAAAAGCTAAGCTGCAAAAATCTACAAAAGTGGAGTTTTCAAGTGCTAGCATAATAATGTACATGGCTGCAAAATTTAAGGGAAACATGTATTTTTTGTAAATAAAGTCATTTGTTATAAAACAACATCCTTGAGCTTCTTTGAGAGGAAAAAAATCATATAGCTAAGTTGTTTTATTTTTTCGGAAATAAAATGAATAAAGTGTCTAACATCTCATCAAACGATTTAGATTTTTAGGAATAAGAAAATATTCAAATATCTTCTTGTTGTGCTGAAGTCAAACAATTATTAGTCTTTCAAAAAGGTGGCAATAACTTTAATTTAAAAAAAAACTTTAAAAGAAATTTAAAAATTTGAAAATATAAAACAATTGTCTATTATTAAACATAAACTGCAAAATGAAACTAATTTACTTACAAGGATCACTGGAAAAGACAGCAGCGGCACAAAGGCCTAGAACCATCCAAAAGAGAGAAGCCATTTTGAGATTGATCTGTGAATCAATGCCACCTCGGAGTGTTACAAATTTATCTTTCAAGCCGTTTTATATATCTTCATTGTTTGCTTTGTATTCTTCCTGAGCTTGATTAAAGCGGAAATTTCAGGCAAAATGCAAGAGAATTGTCAACGAAACCTACTACTGTTTAACCAGGTTACCAATTTGGAAATCAAAAGACCAATAGACTTATAGGAATGTAGCCAAATGTTGCAGCTTTGCAAATTGAAGCCTGAAACTACTTGATGGAGCTCTTTACCAAAAAGGATATATATTCAAGCTGTTAGAACTCTTTGTAATTCCAAGAAATGGTGTCATCATATTTATAACTGAATAGCTAATTCTTTTAAACTATATTCTTTAAAAAAATTTCTTTAACAATTTATGCATCTAACTTCGGACGGAAGCTGAATGGGGACTTTTCATGATCAGTAAATGTTTTCAAAGAAAAATTTTTAAGTTTGTGGCGAAAACTACAAGCAGATGGTGAACTTTTTATCTCCAAGGAAATGTTATTCCAGCAGTTTGCTCCAAAATAACGAACTGACCTAAGACCATATTGAAGGGTATTTTCTGATTTAGAAAAATATCATTATTAGTTTCTTGCCGTGTACGATATGAAGGAACAGATTCAATTAATTCAAAGAAAGATGAAAACAAGATGGAGTATTTATTGACACAATCATAAAAAAATAATAATTTCAGCTGAAGAAGATAATGCAGCTTTAAAATCTTCAAGTCAAAAAAGACTCGAGTGGAAGGAGAAGAAAGGTTTTGAAATTAAATTGCCTTTATAAACCTCTCCTGTCATCCGTTTAAGAAAAAGACAGGATAAATATATGTCTCATAGGTAAGACCCTAAACTTATATCCCATACTGCAAGAAAGGTGAAAATAAAGAATTACAAAGACAAATAAAAAAGTTAATTGGTAAAAAGTGTCTAATTTTGAAGAACATGCCACAAGTTCTAGCCAGTTTTTTTAAAGTTCTTTTAGGTGGTATTTCCATGAGAGATTTTCGTCCAAAAGGAAACCAAAAAATTTGACATGACCGGTCTTTCTGATTGGAAGGTTACCAATTTTGATACTAACTGGACAGGGCGAAAATGCTGAGGTGACTTAAAAATAGCAAAATTAGTTTTATCTTTATTCAGAGCAAGTTTATTTACATCAAGCCACATTTTCACTTTCTTCAGTTCTTTGTTTACCACTCTTTGAAGCAGATCAAGATTTTCAGATTCATAGTAAATGTTATTATCATCTGCAAATAAATAAATGACTAATTTTGAACTTGAGTGTGGCAGATCATTAATGTAAATTAGAAAAAGGAGTGAAGCAATCACAGAGCCTTGTGGTACCCCACAGGCAACATTACAGAAAGTTGAGCTATATCCATTCACAGGCACATACTGCTTTCTGCCTGACAGATATGGTTTAAACCAATCAAGAAAAATTCCTCTGATTCCATAATGTTCAAGTTTCATTGAAAGAATTTCACGGTTAACAGTGTCAAATGCCTTTTGCTGTTTCCAATCGTATTTTCTAAATATAAAGAGAATTTTGTAACATGTCTCAAGCCCCGCCGAATGCTCTCCACAATTCACTCGACAGCACTCGACAATCAAAGCATGTGCAATAGCAACATCTGAACTTTGCCCGCAATCAGAAGTTGTGTTTGTTTTGTGTTTTCTTCAGATTTTGCATTGGTTCGAATAGTGTCAAAATTGAAAGTTGCTGTCAATTCAACGTCAGATTTGATGAACGTTCAGATTGCAATATCTATAAAGAAGAACAGATTAGTGCTAGCTCTTTAAGCGGCGACGAGGATCTTCCCGTTATTAGGGCTAGCTGCAAAAAATCAGAATCGCAAGCAAAAAACCCTTAGCTGAAGAGGCAATAGCCTCATTTGTGAAAAGCCGAGTAAAAGGTCGAGTGAAAGTCGAAGACGTACTATGTAATTCAAATTACTATACAAAAATCTCAGGTACGATACCATTAGAAGCAAAGGACAATGACTACCTAACGTCATAAATGCAAATGTATACCGTCAGACTACGAACAACTAATTGATTACGGATACTATACTGACCTCGGTCACATATTGAATGTCAGATCAGGGTTCCAATGAATTCTCTATTGAATTTGACTTTCATTTCTTTAATTTTTAATGTCGTCAATTTTCTTTTGCAGTTCAAAGCTGATAAAAACTGCTAGCAAATGAATTAGTCTTACAATGCAATAAGTATATTCCATCGTTGAAACCTGCTTAGATATAGGGTGTCACGAGCGCAACTCAATCGATTGGCATTTAACTAAACCATGTATTTTTCTGCAACTATTTCACCTATCTATGAAGATCTTCAATTTTATTAGCAGAGATTGAAATGTGTGGTCATCAGCAAAGTTACAAGCCTTCACTATTATCAAGAAAAATGGTTGTTGTGATAATGTTAAAAAATGGATTCAAGAATTGAGCACTGGGATACCCCTTCTGTCACTGACTTTAACCATTTGTTTTTTGTTTGTAAGGTGACTTTGAATTGATATTACCGAATTCATGCCTACACCATAAGGATATAATTTAGCGATTAATAAACCAATTGGCAAGCAAACGGAAGCTTTCTTCAAAACAATCACAATAGCTAAGATAATTTTGTCAGCTTCTAGGTCATATTTCAAACCTTCTACTAATCTTGTCAAGGTATGCTGAGATGAAAGATGCTGCCATTTTAGGCACAAAGCTGGTAAAATAATTCTCTAGAAAAGGAGAAACTTTTATTTCTGTCGTATTTGGATACATTTGGATGCATCTGCATCAGTCGATTAAAAATGTTCATGCCAGCAAAATATTTACTTATTATATCATAGCCACAAGCATTTTTCAGATTAAGAATTGTTTTCATGATTTTATTACTGTTTCATTATTTGATTTAATTTTAGAATATGTTCTGTTATCTAACTTACTTCCAATTACTTCTCGGGTTTTGAATCAGCTTAATTACTGTGAGAAGGATGTTACATTTCAGCAATTTCATAGACTCAAGATTTGAGACTTAAAGGGTTTTTGTATGTTCTCATATTGAGCAAAAAATGCAAGGATTGATTAAAAGCTACTCAAACTAGTGACGTATTACAATACGCATCTAAATAGAACCGTGCACTCGTACCAAATCTATGCAAAGTTTCAGGTTATGAGTACCAACTTGTATACACAGCTGTAGACGAAGGTTTGTCCAAGTGATAACCTGAAAGTGAGACCATGTTTAACCAGACATTGCATACAGACTTTGACGTGGTTGAAAATAATTAAAGGGATAGCTTACTGTTTCGGTCTACTTAGAGCGGTCCTGGTCATTCCTTCATGATAATTTGCACAGTTTATGGTTTGGATCAAGTAAAACAAGAATGATGCACATTGTTAGCTTTTGGTTGGTTGGCTTACGTAGATCTTTTTATCGGATGGCTTTCTATCTGAAAGTGTTTTAGACACATTGCAAGCTCAACTATCTGACATTCATCAAGCAAAAAACAGCAAAAAAAAGGGTGTCCAATTAGGCCACTTTTTAATTTTCTATAGACAGTCCAATGAGCCGGCTAGGAGGCTCAGAGGAAATGCTATAGCATATCTTGAAATGCTTACATATCTTCAAAGCCATTTGACCAGCGTCTTTATGGAATAATAAGTCAGTTAACTATTTATAATGAAATTTCATTGAAAGTTTATAAAACGATTTATTTTCATATTTCGTTGCCTCTTCCTCAATTTAGGAAAATGTTTTTTTAGAAGCTTGAAGGTTTTATAATGAATTAAGCCTTTAATGTGTAAAATAAAGTAGCTTTTTTATAAACTTGAAAAAAACATGATTCTGAATTCTCAAACAAGTCTTTCACAAAATGAGGTAGATGATATGACCTGTGATTGGTATAAAAACAAATTTATTAGTTTATGTTGGGTACACTATTGTGGAAGAATAATAGGAGCAAACGGATTGTTCATAGAATACAAAACACTTTTATAATTTTGTGGGGGGGGGGGGCAAAAGATTAATTCTGGAGCACTAGTGGTTTGATCTACAACTAACATTCTTTAAAAATGCAGAAAGCAGAAAGCATTTGATGACTCTATTAAGAATCCATAACATCATCACCGGATGACAGGATTGATCGTTACCGTTCAATTTCATTTCATACTAATAGCAAGATTGACCAATGTTATACTTATAATTTGAAGGCTGTGTCTGGCTACAGTAATATGTATCTTGTCAAAATGCATCATAGAGTTCCGAAAGAAAACATCACAAAAAAATTACGTTTCACCATTTTCAATTTTGACCAAATACCTTCCAGCTTCGTCTCTGATCAATCTATCAAAACGAGATCAATCAGCTTAACCCACAAAAGCATTACAAAATACCTCTCATTGTGCAAAGTTTGTTTAGTGTGTTGATTTTGGCTAAGATATGGCCAAACGGCCACAGGATCTTTCCCATCAAACCATCGTATTTGGTCCTGGTTCATAACTTTATGAACCAGTCCAGAAAAACAGCAATCCGTAAGCAAATTTGAAATCTTTCATTGGCCTTCTCTCACGCAATTATGAACAAGTCTGTCTGATTTTGCCTATTGATAAGTATTTGATTCTGTTCTTTCAGATTATGTAATCAAAATTCATAAATTCTAAAAATAGATTTTTGAAGAAGTCACACCTCGGCACTCTATTTGAAGAAAGAAAAGAGACTAATGTTCACAGCACCTATACACCTACAGTGCCTTTAAAATTCTACTTTTTAGGCAATAGATTCTACTTTTAAGATTCTTCTTTTAGGGACTTTTAAAGAGGGAAGCTTAAAGAATTTGAAAGCTATGAACAGTAAAAAGTACACAACAACATATCAAACCATTTCTGTTTTTTGAACACTTACAAATAAATTATTTTGTCAGCACCGTTCAGACGTATTTCAGGACCCCAAAAATAGCAATTAAAATTAATTAAATCATGTCTGGCTTAAAACTGTAAACGAATTTGCCGTTATAAAAAGTTAGAGGGTTTGTGATGGAGATAACTTCTAGAAGCGATGCCCAAGGCACACCCATGGTCGCATCCTATGTACTTGCATTTGTGCTCAACATTCTCTGTTATATATTTGAGTTCATTCTACCTATTCACAGACCCAAAAAAAACGGGTTTCAAATTGTTTAATTTGTAAAGGGGAGCTGATTCTCCAAAAATCTCCCTGAATTTTAGCAAGATGGCTGCACGCCCCAAGCCTCCTCAACAGCAACCCTGACTGAAATGCAACCAGGCTTTCATACTGCAGAAAAACGAGGGAAACAGTTTTCGGCAAAATGTTTTTAAAGAAGAAAAGCTTTGAATTCGTGATAGCATAAAAATAAACACATCTTTTGATTATAATTGCCCTTAGAGAAGACATTCGTTTCAATACAGTTTGTTGTGAAAGAATGTTTGAATTTTTATTTTGCAAGCCTACAATGAACGTTTTCATAAACATTGTAGCATTAACGCATAACAACTTTTGTCATTTGCAATTTGCTTTAGATTGAATGGAAGTTAAAAGTTTTTTCAAAGAATGTCACAATGAATCATCTGCCGTTTGTATGGCTTTAAGCCAGATAATAAACCAAAAATTATCCAGACTTGTTATGTTTCTGGGTTTAGAAAGTTTTGTTTACTGAGCAATCTTTAAACACCGGACTTGCCCAAGTCTTACGAGATCTGTTCTGAAATTGTCAAGTGCAATCAAAAGTTATGAAGAAAACGATGATAACCACGTGAAGTTGAAACGTGGTGCCTGCCATAAAATAAGTTCGTTCGAAGAAGAGTAGACTTTTGGTGAGAGCAGACGCAAGCACCATGTTGATTTCATTAGGAGCATGGATTTTGGGCCTTTGTGCCGTACTGGTTGGGGCATATGACCCGATGGAAAGTGAGTATCCAACGAATGATGTGTAAAGCTTTGTCAATTTAACGATATTATTCACCATTATCGTCATATCGACTGTACTCAACATTATATCGACTGTATAAACCATTTTATCAAACGCGTTTAGCAATTTATCAGTTACCAGTACAATTACCCTAAATGTATTCAACAATTAACAACGGCATTAGTCATATGGAGACCGGATTTACCGTCTAACAGGTAAAATACGCAGATAAACTACTCAGGTGAATTCCAAGATTTAGGTCATAGAACGGCTAGTCAACTCTGCTCGTCTAGCGTTTCACATTGTTTCAATATATTCGCAAAAATTTTCCCAAGCAGATAAGAGTATCTAGCCATTTGATGGTAAAATATTCACAACAGAGTTGCTATTTGATCAGATTTGACCCTGTATTTGCATTACATAGAATGCTTTTGCAGAAATCTTACATTACAAACATATTTCCCTTCCAGACCCTGACCTGCTTCAAGGGGATATGGAATTAACAGAAGAGCAAAGAAATGCCTACCTTAATGGAGAGGCGAATTCAGCAGTTCCTCTTGCAGCTGTAAAGTCAGGACTTTGGCCTAAAGTTATTCCTTACGAAGTCGACGAAAAACTTGGTAAGGTTAACAAATTGATGCTGTTTTAACTTGCAAAATTGTATTTAATTTTATAGATTCTAGGCTAACTCGCTCTTTTGCTTGCTGAAAAAATTATCTTTCAGCTAAAGAGCCGAAAGCAGTAGAAGCAATAGATGCTGCAATCGCCGAGTATCATCAGAAAACTTGTCTTCGTTTTGTGAAAAGAAAAAATGAGCAAGGCTACCTTGATTTTTACATGGGTAGTGGGTAAGTCCAGCTTAATGCTTGATTCTATTTTTATTCAGCATTTTATTGAACGTCTGCGACCATTTTTAGGTACCTATACATGTTAGCTCCAACACTACTTTTGAAAAGGAGTTGACAGCATCATATGTGAAAAGGATAATTTTTAAAGATCTAAAAATTAATTATGACACTTAACACGCTAAAGACAGGTTTGACATTTGAATTTCAGTTGCTCCTCGCCAGTTGGATACTATGGGCAAAGAAGTGGCATTTCATTATCGGACGGGTGTTGGCACAAGGGCATTGTCATGCATGAAATTGCACACAGCCTTGGATTTTACCATGAGCAGAGTAGGCCAGACAGAGACCATTACGTTATCATTCACTGGGAAAACATTAAACAAAGTAAGTTACAAATTAGCTAATTGTCGATTATGTAGAAGGCATCATATTGTCGATTATGATTAAACCGAATTGAAAACAAAAAAACTTTAGGGTATCTTAGATTTTATATCAGCTTATAAGAGCAAATAAGATGGAAATCTAGTTCATGATCAACACCCTTCCAGCACCTTTTTATAGCCATCTTTTTGACATCAAGAAGAGAGAAAGTTGAAACTCGCTATACAAGAAAGATGCTAAGTCAAGTAAATCAAACGAGCCTTCTCTAAAAAAATTCTAAATATATGAAAGACCTTTGTTTACTTATCTAAAAATGTTCATAAATAACTTCATGAATGGCGTGTCCTTAAAATTGATCAAAGTAGCTCAAAATTGTCCTCTAATATGGTTTAAGAAGACTTAAAAGAACATATTTAACTGCGAATTTTTGAATGGTTGTAAACTTCTGACCAATTGTTTACAAAAAACCATGCCTTTTCAATTCAATTTTACAAAACAAGATGAAAAATTTTCTAATGGGTAAATGAATGGTAAAACCAAATATGCAGTAATATTACTGTATATTGTCAGTGCAGATCTCGATATTAAGGTATATGCAATTTCATCAAATCTTCATCTGCTTGTTCGTTGTATATTTTTCCAAACAGATATGAGGTATAACTTCCATAAGCAAAAGGCATCGAATATCGACAGCATGAGCGTGCCATATGATTACAGAAGCATCATGCATTATGGTCGCACTGCGTTCGGAAGAGGAAAACTTACCATTGAAACAAGAGACCCTACGATGCAGAGAGTGATAGGAAGAAGATCAGGGTTCAGTGATTACGACGTACTGCAAATGAATCTGCTTTACAAATGCCCAGGTATTTTTGTACTTTTTCAATCTCTTGGTTGCTTGGGCGTCGTTCTTTTCAACATATACTTCAGTAACAAATACGTAATCCCGGATTATTGAACCTTTTTGCATGACTTTGCTGGCGATCCCAGTTCAAATCTCTCGGAAACAAGTACCTCTACAACAGTTACAATGAGGCAGTTGAGAATTAACAGTTATTTTAGAGAACAGACCAGGGATGGCTAAGGTAGCTCGAAAGATATGAATATACAAAAGTTGTGATACAAAAGTTGGAAATAGCTTTTAAAAGCCAACATTTCAAAACATTCTCAAGCTTTTCCAACTCTTAAGTATTTTTTAAACTAACTTTTTAATTACAATACAAGCTTTTAGATAGCCATGCGAACCTTAAAAAACGGTTGAAACTAAGTATACATTTCCTAAACGTATGAACTGTAAATTGTTTATCGTGAAACAACTTTTTTTACTACCAACGAAACTTTAGCAGCATGAAAAATGGAGTTGTCATTCTTTTATAGGATTTACAAGACCACCAAAACAAAGCCTGCCTCCAAGTAAGTCTTGTTATAAACTGGGACGTAGAAATTTTATATAAAGTGGCACAATTTTAGGAAAATTCTTTGTGGTCACCATTAACAAAGTATTTTATGCGAAAAGGCACTGTGGCAGTGGCAGTTCAACGCAAATAGGCAGTTGTTGCTTTGAAACGACAGTTTTTTACAGTGATCTACGTGTGCCCTTACCCCCTCCCCCCTTCCTTCAGTTCTTTCGCCCAGGGTATATGTTTATACAATATGTTTTGCAGTCCTTTGCTGTTATCATCTCTTGTAATTGACACCTCTAAATAATTCAAAGAAAATTTTGTCCCAAACATTTTCCCCTTTGGACAAAGCCTTGCATAAGTTAACGTATACATTGGAGGAATTTTAAAATTTTGGAGACTTAATGAATGGATGCGTCTATGACAGTCCCATATATAAAGTGAGGAGACAAAAGCATAGAAAATTACTTCTATTCTGCCAGAACATCATTGCAATAGGCATGCATTATCAATAATTCTGTATAATATGAAGTTAATTTGAATATTTTTCTTTTTTTCTAGTTTCAGAAGTTTCTCCCACCACTGGTGAATATCTTCAGATATATTCCTTTCAAATTTCCTTTAGATGCTCCGCAATATTAATTTTCAAACAATTTTAGGGACATGAACATAAATTGCTAAAGTATGTACATACGGTTTGCTAAAAATTGTATAAAGACTATAAAACTAACGCCTTCACTTTGATATATAAGTATCAAGCATTTTTTATAAAAAAGGATATTTGTTCAAGATTTTTTTGAATGATTGTTAGTGAATAAGCAAAGATAATGTACAATAGTATATTAATAAAAGATGATGAAAAGCTACAGCTAATCCTATATTTTTTTTAGCACCAATAACAGGTACGTTAAATTGTTTACCGTCTTGCTCTTGTGAATATACTATTATGCGTGTACTAAAATTTTATTGCGACAATATCACTTGAAGTAAATTTAAAATTGCACTAAGAAAATAAGATCGAATTATACAAAACGATAATTCAAGCATAGCGGATTATGATAACAGGCTATGCTCAAAAGGGCGTTTTTAAAAGTTCGCTCTGAATTGCCTGGTACAATTTTACTTCAACTACATTTTATTGCTTTTGTAAAGCTCTTCAATAAATTTCAATTTCATAATTATTTTTTCTAACAGAAGTATATAAAATAAATATCTTAAAGCGGCAATAGGTTGTAAATAGTGTCTCCATAATCATGAAAATACGCAATTGAAGAAAAATTCTGTTTGCAAAGAGGAAAAAGCCTAGGAAAACGTAGTTTTACTGCCAAGAGCTAAAGTTCTGTACTCCACAAAAATGGGGAAATGCGGATCACCTGCGGGCGAAGCGAGCAGAAAATTTGGTAAACAGGACCCAAAGATTAGCTTAAAATACATTTCAGGATGATTTCTTGCAGTAAACTTGACACGTTAAAGGTTTGTTAATTATCCGACGAAAGCTCGAGTTTTCCGACGAGATCGCAGATTGCGGAGGTCCAAGCCCCCCCCCATATCCCCATAATTTCTGCCACTGCCCCTTAAAATGTTTTTTCCATTACCATGAAATACAATTTGCATATTACAGGTGAACAATTTTGTCGATATTTGAAATGGGACCTTTGAAGAAGGTAATTTAGGCACAAACTTCGTATCTTATTGTTTTCATTACTCGTAGGAGATTGCAAGGATAAGACATACTCGTGTACATACTACAAAGAAAGAGGATACTGTACAAGAGATATTTTTGTTCAATATATGAGGGAAAACTGCCCAAGAATTTGTGGATTCTGCAAGCCAGGTAGCTATTATCTCAGGAGCGTCGTGCTGTTTTATTTGAGCAATTGAATGTAGATAAAGTACACTTTTGAATGATTCCAGCAATCAATAATACAAAAAATTGATTAATTCACACTAGTTTATCAATAATTAAAGATGTAGAAAATAATTACTTACCCGAATGAATGTTGCCAGCAATCAATAATACAAAAATTTCTTGATTCCAACAACTACAATTTAAAGGGACTTCGAAAACCATATTTGAAAGTAATTTCTGAACATAAATAGTTTGATAAACAAAATTTCCACAATGCCTATATAAACACAAAGCAAAGCCTTAAAAAATCTAAACAGTCAGCAAATTGGTCTTTGGTGACTAGAAGACCTATATGAAAAACAAAATTATGACATGCATTTGAACAAATTTCTTTATCATCTTCAGGTTCAATAGAGGCTGGAGGATTGGCAGTTGGTAAGACTTCTTCCATACAAGATTTAAAACAGTTTAAATCCAAATATGATAGCGATAGCTAAAATGAAACCTTCGAGTTCAGGATTATACTCCAGATATAAAGCATGATTCTAAAAGAATCTAGATTTGCAACAATTACAGATAATTTTAGCATTAAACGAATCGGTAAACGCACATTGTAGTTTACACACATGCAACTTTATCCACTATGATCTATAAAAAATATAAAACTATGGTTTGCTAGTTTTTGCTTAATGTTTAATTACTTCTGCCAGGTTTTTTAAAGAGATTGCTTATATTTGCCAGAATTTGAAAAAGCTGATAATAATAAAACCTACAATTTTCTGTATTAATAAAGCCATTTTGAAAACATAGGTCTAGATGGTTGCATTGACACCATTACCTTCTGCGATTTCTACGTGAAGAAGAATTATTGCACGCATCCAAAATTTGGTGATTACATGAAGAGGAACTGTCCTTTGTCATGCAAGTTTTGCAAGCCAGGTTTGTCGCTTTCCCAGTTCTGAATAGGCGTAAATACAAAGAAAATCAAGGTAGAATTAAACAAATAAAAAATGATAAAGAATCGAAATAGAACGATTGAATTTGAAGATTGCACGAAATACCGGTAAAAAATTTTTGCGCAATTATTAATTTTCGCAAATGATTAGATTGGACTTAACTATAGCTCTCTGCTTCCTGCAAATGTTTTTTTGTTGATCAAGGAAAGTCTCAACTTAAATTTTGGAAAACTGCGTATTTGTCTCGTCATGTCATTGTAAACACCAGTTTCATTTAACAGCCAATTTAGAGGTTAGTATGCTTTTTTACAGGTGAAATTACCCAACCTCCACTTGTTACCAGACCTCCAGTTACAGGTATCACGCGCATGACTATATATTTGATTCGAAAATTAAAATCCTTGACTTACTTAATAAAAAAAAATCTTTTACTGATAGTTTATGGTTTCCAACCATTGTTCCTAGTGATACGTATTCATTTATTTGCAGCAGTTCTATGCAGATGAGCTTTGTGTCTGGCACATTGTCCGTTTAAAGTGATCCATATGATTTAATGATCATGTTAAAACTAGGCAAGCTGCAGTTAAAGCAGTTGTGAACCTTCGCTCGGTACCAAACCGTTCTTTGCACATGATAACATTAACACATCAGCTAAAAGATTTTTGTATGATGAACTTAAAGCCAACGATGGTGCTTACAGAAAACTTTTACCTGCATATTGATAGCTTCTATCTTATTTTACAACCGAATCTTTCCCCTATTTGTTTCACTAACACAATCCCATGCTCACACGTACTCAGTATCGCATACTGGATTCAGTAATTTGTTCACACGTTTAACTTCTATTCACTATTTATTATGAGCTTAGACTTAAGTCTCTAGAAAAGCAAGATATCGGGCTCGTTCATTCACTCGAGCACCAAAGTGATACAATATTGTTTCAGACTACACAATATTGTTTCTTGAAAATACTTATACACGAAACATGTAACAAAGCAAATTATAAAGTAACATTTATTCAACGAATGCGAATGATATCTGATGTAATGTTGTGGATTATATCATAAAATAATAAGTTTATCAACTCTTTTTCAGTTCCTTTTACCACCCCTGGTAAGTGCTTTCAGATAGCTTGCTACGATAGATAATAATTTAGATGGCGTTTCAGAAAGTTCATTAAGAAGATCAAATGTTTTTCAGTAAACAAGTTTTTTGTTTTGTGATTGTGGTTATGGTAATAGACACGAAAAATGATTATGGAGATATTTCAAAAATTTCATTATTTATTGCCTTTAAACACTTTGTGCAGATTGTATGGATACAATTCATTACTGTGAATGGTACATGAAAAAAGGATACTGCACCGACGATCGATTTCAAGACTACATGAAGAGAAACTGCCCAAAGACGTGCGAGATTTGCAAACCAGGTACATCAATTGCATAACAATGATAACTCCTTTCGTTGCACACTCTCGTCTGCTTGGAAATAAAAACTCTATATTTGAAATAGACGAATAAGATTTGCATCGAGAATCATTTGAATGAATACCAATGTGCATTTACAGTCGCTATATGTTGTAAGTCGCAAAACTGATATATGTTGTAAACTAAGGTTTTTCACATTGGGAGTAATAAATCACACAGACAAAAGTTATCTTTGGTTTGGCCCTTCAACAAAGTTCAAGTGTCTCCTGTGGCCCCATTTAATTATTCATTTATTTCTTCAGGGAACGAATTGTTAAATAGCACATCGTGCAAGATTATACTGGCTAGCTTGAGAGTACTTTATATCTTATTGTTTAACGAATTCCATTCCAGCAGATTTTTTATACAAGTTCATAATCAGGTATCCGTCATTTTTTAACATTAAGTTCATTGAAACAAGAAATAAAGCGAAAAGAATCTTTCGTGCTGCTATGGAAATTTTTTACAAATTAAAAGCTTTGATAATTTGGGGAATTTTGCTCACATTTTACTGATAGATATACTGTAAGTGTCTTGATTATATAGAATAGGGAATTGCTTGAAACCATGCTGTTAATTCATCTGCTGAATAAGAACAATTAATTGTAGAATTAAATATCAAATGAAAATATTTAGCGTTTCTACTGATTTGTAAGAGCACCAAAGAACCCAACACAGGTTTTGAATGATGAGGTCAGCAAATATTTCCTAATACAATCAACAGAACAGATAAAAAGTGTCTATTTCACGAGCCAAATTTTTTAAGAAAATCGCGTTTGAAATGGTAAAATTATTTTATCTTTATTTTACAGCCACGGCCAAGGCAGAGTCATTTGCGGGTAAGAATTTTTTCCGAAAAAGAGAGTCTTTTTTAAACTTAGGAATTTTTCAAATACCTCGAATGCAACTAGCGCCTATAACAATGATAAAAACTGCTTGATGTTAAAACGTATAGTCTTGCTTTAATATTTGAAGAATCTTGCAAATAATTAATTCTATACTTGCAAATAATTAGCTGCACATGCCATATTTTGACTTGAAATTGTTTCACAGTATTTCAGAAATCCAATATTCAAGTAATTTTTTTGGCGGTACAAAACTTGGAAATGGCTTTACAAAGGCCAGTATTTTATGGCATATTAAAGCTGTTTGACACTTTTCATAGAATAAATTGCCAGGAAACTGATAGAACCTGATATAAGCTAGCGTGTATTTCTCCTATCTTAGGATTTTCGATCAGTTTATGTCAAAAAAGGTTTGCCTCCATAACGCAATATTTAAATGAAATCAATTCAGTCCTGTCATTGACTGGTACAAACATTTTTTCACAGATGCTTGTATGGACACGATCCATTTTTGTGATTTCTACGTCAGAAAAGGATACTGCACACACTCCAAATTTGGGGATTATATGAAGCGAAACTGTCCACTCTCTTGTAAACTCTGCAAGAAAGGTAAAAACCCCCAACAGCTTTGGATTAAAGGTTTCTAGTAGATACATACTTAAAGGAAACATGTCCAGCTAAAGCAAGTGACTCTGCGGGGGTTTTTAGAAACATGTGATTTTTCATGTCATCGCCCCAGCTATTACGGCCGTTCAATTTATCTATCCTGCTGCGAGGTTAGCTTTTCATGTGAGCAGTTTTGCATCGCAAGAATACTAACCAATCACAAGCCGTTAATTTGATGGGTGGCTTGACAAGTTGGGTATACGCAGTCCTTTTATATGGACATATTACCTTTAATATTGACTTTAACAGAATTACCAAAAAATGAACCATTTTATGGAAAATGAACCATGTTAATTTGGTTGTGAAGAGTAGCGTTCTGGTTTTGAAACGCCCCAAAGTACAATCGGGATGACTTCTTAGACTTCTTTAAAACATAAGGGACAAATAAGATGTTAACCACAAAAATATCCAAGGAAATCAATTTATTTTTCTTGTTGGCTTTTTATCCAAATTCTGAGTCGGGGATCTTCATACCTTGTTAATTGGCAAAAGATGAATTTTGCTCCTAATTTTCAATTTTAGGCGAAGCAACCCAACCACCACTTGTGACAAAGCAGCCAGTGACAGGTTAGAAAATCGATATTCAACATTATTAATCATAAGTTTACTCAACAATTGTAAAAAATAAAAGTACAGAAATGATGTGACAAAAAGCAAAGTAAAGGAAGTTCGAGAGTTCAGACAGATTATATCATAAGATGCTCCTTGAACCTCAAAAGACTGTTATGAAGATGTAGAGAAATTGGAAAACTTCATATATTGCCTGAATAAGGAGATATTTAAGGGATTTTTTTAAGGTTTCCATGTAACATATTATGGCATTAAGAGCAAAGAAAAATAAATGACTACAAAGATTTTACTAATTATTACTCGTGAAAACTATAGATAAGGTTTGGTTGGATATTATCAAATAATGAGAAGTTTGGAAGTTTTAAATTTTGAATAAGAATATTTATAGGGTAAAGAAAGTCATTTGAAATTTTTTAAAACATAAATTATCTTTGCAGTGCCATTCACTACACCAGGTATGACTTTTTTAGAATTTTTATTGATTTTACTGTTTATAAAAATACAGTATCTAAAAGCCTATCAATAATGTGTTATTAAGACCCCGTTTACACTGTCCCGTGCAAGTTTAGAACAGTGACAAAACTGTCACGGTTCGCCCTTCCATTTACACTAACACTGTAGAACTGAGACGATTTTGCTCAGCAATCCGGAAAAGTTTTTACCCTGCTTAGGTCAAATTGAGCTTCCGACCACCTTATGTCGTTCAGCATTGATTGATTTTAAACAGACTTACTCACCCAAATAAGAGCCATCAACGTCTTTCGTCGTTGGTAATCTTGTTATTTATATCATCTTTGTCAATGGTTATTGTAAAATTATTTTTGTATATGGTGGAATTTTGAGATTAAATGAAACTGAAACTGAAACTGAAACTGAAACTGAAACTGAAACTGAAACTGAAACTGAAACTGAAACTGAAACTGAAACTGAAACTGAAACTGAAACTGAAACTGAAACTTGAAAAGTGAACAGTTTTGATGACCCACAACTTTGTTTTCAAGATTGCATGGATACTATTCATTATTGTATATGGTACAAGAAAAGAGGTCATTGCAGCAACGACCATTTCAAGGACTATATGGAAAAGAACTGTCCAAAAACATGCGGATTTTGTAAAGCAGGTAGAAGATTGTTTAAAGTTTTGAAAAGGACAAAACTTTAACATAGCTTTATTTGTCAGTCACAAATTTTAATTTCTATGCGTCGTTTATAAACAAGCTTTAGGGGGAAAGTGACGTCTAGGGAATCTTAAGATCAAAACATTTTCAAGGGCTGCAAGGTAGTAATAGCAAATCACTGCAATAAAGTTATAAGATTCTTAAGATGCAAGCATGGAACACAGGCAAGAACCTTATGCTTATCCGTTTCCTTTAAACTTTTTTCTGTTGCTTTCTTCTGTTTGTTGTCGACATTTTTATTATGATGGTGAAAGATTTTAAGGCTTTTAATTGAGAAAATTCTTTTACTCTGCAAGAAATACTAAGATGAAATTCCTTTATTCGGTTTATGATATTGTTAGTAGATAATTAAGTCTATTGGAGCCCTCTTTTGCAATGTCTACATTGAGTGTTATAATGTCACTCTTTTCTTGCATTTTTTAGACGGTGCTTCATATGGTGCCAGCAATGCAGGTAAGAATAACACATCATTATATATCTTTTTGCTTTAACGATTCTAAACATAACGTCAGATCACCTTTGTCGTTCTTTGAGCATAATCTGAATAATTTGAAGTGTGAAAGCAATTTATTTGCCTATTCTGGTCTTGTTTATAACAGTAGAAAATCTATATTATCGAAAACATTAAAAAAAGAACCAAAGATATCGAAAATTAGAAATTTCATGAAGGCAAGTACATATATTTCTGGAAAAAATCTTCTTAAAAACAGGTAGCCCCAGCATAGGTTTTTTGCTATTTAGATAGCAACTCCCATATGTTTATATTAATAACCATATATTTTCAGCATTTATGTTATCAACTATATATCTTAGCTTGAGTTAATCAAAGCTAAATCTGTTTCAAAGTGTAGGCAGCCAAAATTTCATACCTGTTTAACTGATAGGCAATAGAACATAATATTTCTACATACCAGGTTGTGCACAGATTTGGCTGAAGAGCAAAAGGTGTTACAACAGCCAACTCATTAATCGGAAACCTCTAGTAAAGAATTAGAATATGTTCCCTTTTACTATCAATGCTATACTCTAAATGAACTACAAAATCTGTTTTAGATGCTTGCATCGACACGATCCACTACTGCCAATTTTACATAAAAAAGCAGTACTGTAACCATCCTAAGTTTGGTGAATACATGAAAAGAAACTGCCCACGATCATGTAAATTTTGCGAACCAGGTAAGCAAATTAAAGACTATTATTTCTTTGCCAACTCAAACAGCATTTATTTGAGATTTGGAAGAGCTCTCTTTAATTCGCATATAAAATAGCCTACATCTACCATAGGTGTTGCAACGCAGCCTCCACTTGTTACCAGACCTCCTGTTACAGGTAAAGTAATGCTTTAGCTGCTAAAAAACTTATCTTCACATTGTCCTCTGTGTCATCAAATTGAATACTGCCCGCGAAGGTAGCAGCTAGCTTCTTGTCAGAATGTTCAGTTAGGCAGGCTGCTAGATGATTACGCCTTCAGTTAGGCAGGCTGCTAGATGATTATGCAAATTTTCCTGTCTAATACGTCAGTACCTTGTCTCCCTGAATTTTTCTTTTGAAAATGAAAACAAACAGCCCTCCCACAAGAAGCTTTGAGTACATAACTGTAGCCAGAAAAATGGAAAAGCATTGGATACGGATTCAAAACGTAGACTTTATAAAATGGAAAATTATGTCTTCTTTATCGGTACAAGCTAAGAAAAACGAGCACTTTTGGCTGAGGCAAGATAATCTCTTACATATAAATCCTAGTTACGGGTATAAAATGCCATCCAATTTTTGGTGGTACAGAAATTAAAAATTACTGTGAGAAAATGTGTTTCACATCTTTTTCCTTTTCTAAGTTGTTTGAAATACCATCCAACTAATATGTTATTTTAATACAGGTCTTTTCTAATGTCTATGGGATTTTGATATTGAATTTTTGACAGGCAAATGTGGTTAGAGGTTAAATTGGTGAATTCTTTGAAATATCATTTGGTTATTAGAAATCTAGCCTTGTAAGATGTTTGAAAACAAGTCAATGATAAAGAGCACTAAGCTTTACCAAACATTGAAAAGAAATAATGAATGAAGTAACAATAAGAGATTTTCATCAATATATATAATAATGGATATTGTTTATTAACAACCAAAAATTGATATTCCTTTACTTTTGCAAATTTTATCGCTTGTCCTGCCTGAAAAAAGCAGGGTCTGCAAAAAATAGAAAATACTTTTAAAAACACATATGAAACCAAATAGGGGATGATTTTGAAAAAACCAAATTCAATAAACAACCTTGAAAACTTTTAACAAAAGCTAAAATCAGATGACAAAGTTCTGTTATATTTTAGCTCCATTTACGACTCCAGGTATGTTGGAAATAAATTTGACTTTTGTATGTAACTATCCTTTAAACAGTGCATATTTCAGAATGATTCATAATGATTTCTTCAATAACGGGGTGCTAAAATTTATTAACAACGATATCTAAAGCTATTGACCAAATGACTAGAGCTCTGTCTACATGACTAAAGATAAAAGGCTGCTTAAGAACCAATCAAAGTTGAATGAATTTAAAAATATGATGTTTGCTTTAAAATTCTATCTAGTGGGCCCACGGTGCATGGCTCCTTGTAATCATATCTGTCTCAAGGACGTGATAACTATACAAGCTTGCATTTTTAGACTGTATGGACACAATTCACTTCTGCAAATGGTACAAAAGCAAGGGATACTGCAAGGACGAAAGATTTGTTGATTACATGACAAAGAATTGCCCAAAGACATGCGAAATTTGCAAACCAGGTGCGAAAAGGGCGAAATTATTTGTCAACTCATTTGACTGAACATTTGCCAAATAATTTCGATAAATTCATGAAATACTTTTTATAATACTTTTAAATTTTGTATCTGAGTTAAATTTTGAAAATGCAGAAATAAAAACATTGAAAATGTAAAAAAAAAAATTACGTCCATAGATTATTCTGATCGAAATCACTCACACATATTCCCTATGATCCATTTAATTTGTTGATTTTAGAAGCAAATCTATTTTAATTTAGCATTCGAAGCAATAGAATGCTATAAGCCTAGGTCTTGTGTGGCGATCAGAAATTGTATTTATAGTAATACCATAAATTTCCCTTGGATGTCTTTTTAATTCATCGTCAGTGTAATAATCTCAATCATGTAGCAGTTTTTCCAGATGAAAATTGGATTATTTCAACATTTGCTATTTCTTTTTTCAGATGGCCCAGACGCCGGAAACCTTGACTCGGGTAAAAAATTACTTTTATTGGTCACTTTTTACATCTTAAAACGTTTGAAAATCGCTAGTGATTAGATTAAAGTCGAAAATTATTGTTTTCGAGAAAAATATCCAAAGAAGCAAAGCTAGAATAAATTTTGAAACAAACCAACTCACGAGAATGATTGCAATAAATTATGTTATGTTTACTGAAATTAGGAAATAGTTAGAAATTTTAAGAAATTATGTTATCTTTTAGCTAAAAAGTTCAAAAATGCCTATTAAAATGATGATAATTTATAGAAACCTCTTGGCAAGTTACGAAATGTCTCAAGTTAAGAAGACAAAGATTTTTTCCTGAAAGTAATGAGAGTCATTTTGTAAATGATGAAATCAACATGCTACATGTGTTTGATAATCGATTTGAACTGGCTGAATACGTTATCTATACATTACAATGGTATTTAGACACAATGCCATTATATCTTATTTTGTTTCTCCTAATCAGTTTTCCGTTTTGCAATTAGTTTTAACAACTAGATATCTTGGCTTTGACACCAGTGGCATTAAAGTCTTGGCATTAAAGGCATTTCAAATCGTACTTGGCAATCTATTATATGAATTTTCAAATCCTTAATTTCCAGGTGTATTTGCACCAGGAGAGGGTATGTTGATCTTATGATTGTTATTTTTGAGACTTGCCATACCAACAATCAGTTCTAAATGATAGCCTATTTTGAAGAAGTCCACTGCAATATAATTTGTTGATCTTTGCATATTAATTGACAAAACATATCATTAATAGCCTGTGATATTCATAGAAACATATGCTTAATGCATATGTCTTGCAGATACTCCGGATATCAATTTCAAAATTCTTTGTATTTTTAAAGTCGGAGGACGTTTTACACAAGAGTACATAGAAATACTTACAGTATACATTGGCACTTTTAACTCAAGATATTAAGAATAAAGCTGCAGGTCAAACAATCTTAATTTTCTGATCTGACAACATCCTAGCGCAAATTAAACGAAATTAATTTTCTAGATGCCTGTATGGACACCATTCATTACTGCAACTTTTACGTGAAGAAAGGATACTGTTCCAGCCCACCAGATGATCTTGTTGGAGATTACATGAAACGAAACTGCCCATTCTCGTGCAAGTTTTGCAAAAAAGGTAGGAGCTGAGATGAAGCTTAATCATTCGACAGAAAGATCGATATCACCTTATTTTCATTTGTGAAAGCCAAGGGCACTTTTATTTTACAAGGCAAAATCTTTTTTGAAAATATCAAGCCTAAAATCCTTTAGGTCATTAATTTCAAAATACTATTTTGTATAGATTAGTAAGATTGATAAAAGGCATTTTAGAAAGATCAAAGGCCTATGCATCTCATCCATTATTCTAATGCATACCTTAAATGCCATGAGGTTTTTTTTTAATTTCAGAAAATTAGTTTCTTATTTATTTTGAAGGTGTAGCAACACAACCACCACTTGTTACAAGGCCGCCAGTCACAGGTAAAAACATAAGTACTAAGTTGTATATTTGAAGAAACTCTTCCGTTATCTACTCTCTACCGTTATCGTGCTGCTATTGCAATTATCAAGTCACCAAGATATACATGTTGAAAATGCAATTCTCATGAAGACAAATTGAAATTAAGACTGATTGATAAATGACATTGTAACAATCAAAATTTACCCTGGTGTCTGTTGCTAAGTTAAAAAAAGATCTCAAGCAGCATTACATACTCAATCTTTTATCGATTACAATGAATGGGAGTTTCGAAGCAAAAGAAAAATTTCAATCATTGTGTGTGCTAAAACTTTTGGAAAAAAGGGTTTCTGAGCATATATTTCTCGTAAGCAAGTAATAGTTTGTAATTTTTTGTCTAATGAACTAAGCAGAAAGAAAAGTGTAACAACTGATTGAATTTTTTTCATTTTCAGTTCCCTTCACTACCCCAGGTTAGTAAAAAAATAAGTAACAATATTACTTTTGACAATATTATTGCTAGCCATTTGATCATGAGACCGACATCAAATCAAATACATGATTTAATTAACAAGTTAAAATGTTTACCTTCAACAACAAATGTGTATCATATTGAAAACAGAAAATTTTTGTGGCACAGAGTTTAAAGATGGTTTTTAAAGAAACAAGCATTTTTGGTCATAACAGCACTTCCTGCAATCACTTAACAATTGTGTCGAAGCCTGAAAATGAACTTCTGCTGTCAACACACAGTCTACACTAAAACCCGTTGGTTTCATATGTTTATGAGAACTCATTTTTCATTAGACTGCATGGATACGATCCACTTTTGCAACTGGTACAAAATGAAAGGATACTGTACGGATGACAGATTCATGGACTACATGACAAGAAACTGCCCAAAAACATGTGAGATGTGCAAGCCAGGTAAAAAAATAAGACAGCTTTCTTGTTTGGTAGACGAACACGAGAAAGTCTTATCATAATGAAGACCCCGTTTATACTGTGCCATTTATCATGTATTTCATCCGCATAAAACTTGTTCTGGTTGATTTGCGGTTACACTGTGCCGCATAAATTTTGTCCACTTTGCCCTGCCGCACAAATTTTGTCCACTTTCCCTCCCGTATACACTGTGCCGGATAACTGCTGTCACGTGACATAAATCATGCACAGAACGTCCAAAACAAAGTCATCTCTGGGCAACAAAGTAAGAACAATATTCCCGCCAACGTTAAAAGACTTGAAGACATTCTCAGTTCAGAATTAGCCGGTTCTCTTTCAGACGAAATTCGAAGATTTTTTCAAAACAAGTTAGGCAAAGTTAGTTTTAATAATCCGTTCTTTGAAAAAATTGACGCTGAAATAGCAAAGAAAGTAGGGAAAGCTGACAAGGATGCCAATTTTACGTAGACCAGCGAAGATACTGCACTTTTAAGACGAGCAAGATACGATGTGAATAGAATTTATCCGGATTAAAACCGTCTATACTGTGCCACAAAGCTATCCGGACTAATTCAATCCACTTTCCTAGGTGAACTAATTTTGTTCGGATAGCCGCTCTCAAATTCTATTCACACTCGTTGGTTTAGTGTAAATGCGACGCCTATCTGAACTAACTTCGATTCGGATAAAATTTATCCGCCACAGTGTAAATGGGGTCAAAATTTACCCTTTGTTCTTGGATTCAAGAACATGCACAGCAAACTAAACCATTTCTATGCACATTCTTTATCTCCAAATCAATCGAGAAATTGCTTTGCAGATTACCAGATTGTCCTTTCAAACTTTGCTCAAATCAACCATTAGTGCCCATCAATGTATTTAGATCGTGTTTAAAAAATGCTAAGGTGATAAAGCTCGAACAATAACTTTTGAAAGAGGGAATGACTCATCATGCGATATCTCTAAATTTTCGCAGAATCTTTGCAAAATGTTTACTTTAAACTTTAAACAAAGCAAAAGGTTTACTTGAAGTCTTTGCATAGATAAAAAAGTTCAATCTTAATCGTATTGGTACGCTTATATATGCACATGTAGAAGCTACTTTATCTCGATGCTTCTTTGATAAAGGCCTTTTATTTTTACGCAGATGTATACGCCCCAGGAGAAGGTAAGAAAATACGATTTCAAAACGATTTCAACTTTTCTCATAACATGCGCATCTTCATTTTCTTTGTCATTAAAACTCACGAAATCTGTTTATATTGTAAAACTAAAAAATTTCAAAATCTATAAATCATTCAGATCGCAGTTTAACAAATATCATTTGAAAAATTCTTCACATTTTTCAATCAATTCTTTGTTATTCCAAGGAAGATTACCTTTTAAAAAACGGAAAATCTTCTTGATCTGATTTCGCTATGTAAAGTTTTGCTTTTGATAATTTTGTAAAATTGTTTGTTTTTCAAGATGCATGCATGGATACCATTCATTTCTGCGACTTTTACGTCAAGAAAGGATACTGTTCCAGCCCACCAGATGAGCTTGTTGGAGATTATATGAAACGAAATTGCCCACTGTCATGCAAGTTTTGCAAGAAAGGTGTGCATTTCCTGCATAAAAGTTGCTCGATCGAATTCTTTGCTTTTTTCAATAATTGATATCTGAAGTATATTAAAGATACTATATTTTTTCTCTATTCTTCATTTAGCTTAAGATTAGACGAGTTGATGTCAACACATTTTGATTGACATAGAAATCAAAAAAAGTACATAAAACATGGTATAATTGGACCCCTATATGGCATAGTCTTTAATAGTCAACAAACTTTGAAACTATTGACATCATCCGTGGCTTAGTCAAATCATTTTTATCATCAGAATGTCGACTATGATAATACATCACTGTATTATCCTTTTTTAATAGAAGCTAATGTATATTTATTGTGGCTGTCTTACTGAATCTGTACAAAATCATTGAACATTTAAAAAAAAAGGAGTTTTCTAACATTAGAATTCAACAAATAACTGGAAAAGCTGCAGAGGTGATTAAACATTACAACGGTTATACCTTATTTGCTATTGATCTTGTTTTGACGGACCTATTGGTAAATGAAAATAGAAAAATATTTCAGTAAATGAGCTGTTTGTTTTTCATTCCAGGCGAGGCAACACAACCACCACTCGTCACCAGACCACCTGTCACAGGTAAGTTTTAAGTAGTTTAGACAATGTAGTCACAATATATTAGTCTTTTAATTCACTGTTTATCGAGGTGACTGTGCTACAAAAAGAAACAATTGTATTCAATGCACTTTAAATGAGTTTGATCAATGCAAGTCAAAACAAGATAAGAAACTGTAGTGATTGCATTGATTGATTTTATAACTTGAAAATTGCTAGTACATGTATTTCCATACAACTCGAATTATGCACTTGATACCTTAAGAAAGTAACAGCTAAAGCATAATATATACGATGGAGAGCTACATCACATGCTACAGTTTCATTCACAATCTATTTTTATCGAAGCATTTATTTAAGAATGTGATGTTTGTTAGAGAGCTTAAAGTAGCTAAAGTTTTCAGGACTTAGTTTAAAGAATCATGATTGCCACACATCCACAAATATGAGGAGTCTGGATGTACTATAACACAGCCCTGGTGAATGATGGAGACGTTACAAGTTGAGGATAGACAAAAAAAATTGAATTTTCCAAGTTGAACAGAAATAATCAAACTTAACACACAACGTTATCGCTTTAACTGACTTTCCAGCAAACAGTAAAACAGTTCTTCTACAAACCCTGTCTATAAACAAACCGTTTTATAACTGATAATGTTTTTGAAGCATCACTGAATTATAAACAAGATTTTAATTTCACTTCTTTCTAATTTTAGTACCATTCACAACCCCAGGTAACTGCTTACTTTCATTCGTTATTGATTCTATTTTTCTAGATAATTTCAATTGAAGAATGAACGGAATATCTAAGCTAACATAACTACTCTGTGGAAACAGTAGAATAATGTTTCAAAATTACGTTTATCTGATCAAAATATTAGGATTCTAGTTGTCCAGCAACTATTCCAGTCCATTTTCTTTAACTGGCTTTTCTTTAGACTGCATGGATACGATACACTATTGCAATTGGTATAAAAAGAAAGGTTACTGCACAGACGACAGATTCATGGACTACATGACAAGGAACTGTCCCAAGACTTGTGAAATGTGCAAAGCAGGTAAACTAAATCTACTTTTCTTAAAAAAAATTAAATCAATTATCTAACATAGCTTTTATGTAACTTTTTTGACGAAAGCTATAGATTTGGAGTTTAAGATTTTAGGAAACGTATAATAGATGTTTCAGTTAGATTATGTTTTTCAGCCTAGAGATGTAGCCACCCAGAAGGAAAATGTGTTCTCTTTGTGCTATTCTGGCAGCTTATGTACTATACAAAATTCCATTAATGAAAAAACATGGAAAATACTTTTTTGTTACGAAATTCCAGAGAATTGACACCAAAGAACAATGGTTTTTGCATCTTAAAGTTCAAATTCTACTAGGCCATGAATAAATACGTACTGTTGTGTTTCAAAATTCCACCATTTTGTTACCAAATTCCAGGGAATTTAACACGAAAGAGCCTCTATTTTAATACCAAGGCATAAATTCTGCTAGACGATGGAATGTGACTTAAGAATCGTACCAAATGGTTTAATCTACAAGCAAAATTCATCATAGTAGATCACAAACTTATTTGATATGTCAATAAATACCTGTTTGTGATCTTCTTCAGCTTTAAAGTCAATTGTGCCAAATCAATGACACGTAAAAAATAACGAATATCTTTTGACGAGCTTCATATATGGAATTTTATCTGCACTTATTCACATCATATAATTTGACCATTAATTTCTTTAAAGACTTTTGATAAAAAATTGATCTTCCATGCAGGTGCATTTGCTCCAGGAGAGGGTAAGTTGAAATTACGATTAATAATTAGCAAGAAAAATTACTAGTTATACTTAAAGACGCAATAAAGGAAAGTAAGAAAATTTGGAATCAGCAAAACAGAAGAGTAGAAGATATTTCTATTGCCTGCGAATTGCATTAATGAAAATATCAGAGTTGCAACTCCGATTTTTAAGCCATTTGCTTTTTCATCCTAACATTATAATGTTGACTTAGAGAAGGAGAACGGTATTAAATTTTTGAAATAATAGCCGGTTGGCAAGAACATTAAGAGCTTAAAGCCTTCAAAAAAGCTTATAACAATTAAGTAGTGTTTCTTACAGCAAAGCGTATACAGCTTTGCCTCTCTGGCATCAAACACTTTATGCTTCGTTGCCTCTCTTTACACAGTAAACACAGGACCGAACTTGGTCGAACTTACACACAATGCCACGATTTGATTCAATATAGAAGAAATTCAAAGACCATCCTAGACCGTAAACAGTATGATTTTTAGGCATGCAGGACTCTTTGTTATGCAAATATTTTACCAAATCTCACCAATCAAAACTCAAGTTTTCACATATTTGTGCGGCACGAAAAGTCTGTAAACACTATGTTAGATTACTGTGCCGCACAACTGCTGGCAAGAGAAGAAAGTGGACGAGGTTGAAAGTTGTGAATTAGAAGAATCCCAATTTTCTTTATCCATACGGAAGAGGTGCACAGGAAGTGTACACTTCTGAATCTCAGGATATTTTGTCTCAACAGCGTGTTTGGATTTGCTGGAAAATTTGGAAAACCTTTTAAAAGGGAAAAATGTTTAACTGAAAAATTTGAAAGTTTCAGGGCGCCAGTCCCGTCGCCACCCTCAAAACTACTACAAGGCCTGCAAACCTCGTTGGTAAGGCAACTTCCGCTCCTAAAGATAAGTAAGGGCGTCCATTAAGGCGTTTCATCAATCAAAGTGTATCAGTCTTGTTTAGCGAGACAAATCGCAGTTAGAAAGTTAACGCTTACAAGACATCAAAATAATATTCTAGACAAATCAAGATGACTTTCTTGAAAAAAGGCGAAATTATTCCTTTTATTTATAGTGGTTCCAATAATCGACATTGTGAGCTTTAGGGTTTTTTGCCTTTGAAATTAAACCTAGTTGCTCTGGTTCCTGGGGGGAGGAGGGGGCTGGGTCCCTATCAAGGCTCTACCCTTGACCACGAGGGAGGCCCCCTAGACAGCCTGCTGGGTAGTGTTTATGTGCGACCGTCAACTTTTATTCTGCATCCGCCCCTGAAGTCGTCGACTTAACTAAATATATCGTGAACCTAAATTTGGTGGAGATCCTTAAAAGCTATTTTCTCTCTAGATGCATGCATGGACACCATTCATTACTGCAACTTTTACGTCAAGAAAGGATACTGTTCCAGCCCACCAAATGATCTTGTTGCAGACTATATGAAACGAAACTGTCCCTTATCGTGCAAGTTTTGCAAAAAAGGTTGGTACTCTTGTCAAACTAGTTATAAAATGTGTAGATAACATTTACTTAATATAGAAACACTCTTGCCTAAATATGTTTTTTACCATTTTAGGACATGTTGAATTACGTTTTCTAAGTTTTTTCACATCTTACCTGCATCAGTTAACATATACGATTTCTAATTTGAATAGTACAAACTCTTACTTCATGCTATGTTGACGGAGATGAACTTTTCTAGGAGAGGCCACGCAGCCTCCACTCGTTACCAGACCTCCAGTGACAGGTATGAAAATAGACTTTTAATCCAACATAAGCCAGATTTCCTTGAATTTTATTTGATTGGAACAGCAACAGAACTGCAAATTTAGCTCCTAACGGTTAAAGTGACCTGCCAAAGTTACAACTGCAAGGTCACATATTTCACTGTATAAAATTCTACCGTGCTTTTAAAGATTGTTGCGATTTAGTGCAATGTTACGACTGCAAGTTCACATATTTAAATGTGTACAATAAACTGTGTTTTTCTATAGATTGGTGTCAATACTGTGATAGATTTTGACAAATAGTGCTATCCTTTTATTATGGTTTTTGTTTGACCAAAATTTTATGAACTATCGAAAAAATAATTATGTTTAATTTTTCTTTTTAGTCCCTTTCACCACACCAGGTATGCTTTTTGGTGTATTAAAATAGTTTACAATTGCTTGCAATTAAATAATACATTGGAATGAGTATAGTTTATGTTTGGAGCTTTCGTATCCCAGGAAACTTTCTGGTTAGCCAAACATCTCTAGTTCTCCTGACGAATGCAAATTCGCTTTAAAAAGGTAATTTTGATCCGTCAGATTGTATGGACACCATTCATTACTGCGCCTGGTATAAGCAAAAAGGATATTGCACAGATGACAGATTCATGGACTACATGACAAGGAACTGTCCCAAAACCTGTGAAATGTGCAAAGCAGGTAAAATAACTCTGCTTCAATTCAATAAATTAAATTGATTATTAATCCTAGCATCTAAACTATCAAATCAATTTTAAGACTAAACTTTTGTCTAGCCTATTTGATGGAAGCGGTAGATTTACTGCTAAAGATGGCATCAAAAGTTAGCAGTGAAGCAAGTGTATCAACTTGTATAGTAATGGTTCAGTTTAGGGCTGTCCAAACCTTCGGATATTCCTATTCGGTTATTCGGCTTAAAATTTAACGAATATTCGGTTATTCGGCGAATGTGGGTGTGGCAAAATGGGTGTGGCAGGGTTGGGGTCAAAATCTGCAATCTGAAAATTTATTGTAATTTGTTAAAAATGACCAACAGCTAATCAGTCATTACTATTCGATAAGTCAGAACCATTAATTTTTCTTGTTTTCCTTTTGACATTTCCTGTGTTTTACGTAACTTCAAAGGGTGTGCTGCAAAGCAATTTTCAAAACGATTTTTTGTCAAAAAAAAATGTTTTCTCGAACCTTCCCTAGCATTAGTTGCCCCTAATGGCCAGAAATTCAGTATCATATTAACAAGAAACCATAGTCGTACGTTTTCAAAAAGGGTGTTTTCCAACATTTTTAAAAGTGAAAAGCTTTCTAGCACGGGCTTCAACACAGGTTGGGAAGTGGAGGGGGGGGGGGCAAAAGAAAATTTAACACTCACAACAAATGATTTTGTGAAAAGTTATATTATTCTGCGAAATAGTGGTAGGGCCATAGCCCCCCGGCCTCCTCTTCGTCGGAGGCACTGTAGCACAAACATTTTCCGAGGAAAAGCCCCATGACCCCCACCCGCAACCCACGCTCCACTCCCCCTGCCCCCGTCCAATCTTGCTTTATTGTCTTTGTAACTATTTCTTGGGATTGCGATTTTTGAAGAAGGCCCGTATCCATGAAACTCTCTCTAAGATTGAAGATAGGAAATAGAGATTCGTTTGTAACCTAATAATCGTACTATCCCAACTATTTGCTTGTAACCGAATATTCGCTTTGGACTTCAGCTAACCGAATAGTGAAACAGGTAACCGAATACCGATTATTCGACCTTCGGCGGACAGGCCTAGTTCAGTTATATCAGGTATTTTAGCTAGAGATATAGGGATCCAGAGAAAATTTGATGTCTTTGAGCTACTCTGACAGCTTATTTATAATACAAAATTCTATTAATGAAAAAACATGGAAAATAGTTTTTTGTTACTAAATTCCAGAGAATTGGCACCAAAGAACCATGGTTTTTACATCTTAAAGTTCAAATTCTACTAGGCCATGAATGGAAACGTTCTGTTTTGTTTCAAGAATGGTGCCAAGTGCTTTAATCTGCAAACCATTTTCATCATAATAGATCAAGAACTTTATTTGAAATATCGGTAAAAGCCTGTCTGTGATCTTGTTCAGCTTTAAAGTCAATTGTGCCAAATCAATGACATGTAGAAAATAATAAATATCTTTTGACGAGCTTCATACATGAAAACTGTATCAGCACGTATTCAAACCATATAATTTGACCCTTAATTTCTTTAAAGACATTTGATTAAGAAATGATTTTCAATGCAGGTGCATTTGCTCCAGGAGAGGGTAAGTTAAAATTACGATTAATAATTAGCAAGATAAAATAATTAATATACTTAGAGACACAATAAAGGAAACTAAGAAATTTTAGGATAAGCAAATAAGAAGATTATAAGTTATGACTGTTGCCTGAGAATTGTATTAATGTAAAAAGCAGTGTTGTAATTCAGATTTTTTAGTCTTTGTCGTTGTCTCTCCTAACATACCGATATTGACTGAGGAAAGGAGAACGGTACTAACTTGTTGAGATAGTAGCAGGGTTGGCAAAATCATGGGAGGCTAAAAGCCTCTAAAAAAGGTTAATACCAATTGTTTCCTGTTCCTTACCGCAAAGCGTATACAGATTTGCCTATACGGCATTAAACGCTTTATGCTTCGGCATAATGCACTAAACGGCTGGATATTATACTTTAAAATAATACTTGCTACACAACAGCATGAAAGATTTTGAGAGTGTATTCAGGAATAATTCAGAAATAACGTTTCTGAGAAATATTACTATATAAATCCTCTAAATGTTAATAATAATTCAAAATAATATTGTCTTTCAATTAAATTTCTTCCCAATTTTTGACATTTTTGTTCAATTTCCTGATCAGATGCCTTCTCTTTGTGAAGCATTTAACAGTTGGCGATAACTTCTTCTAGCATAACTGCAGTCCATTCTATATTCTGCATCAGCTCCATTTTTGTAGCCTCTATCAAAGAGGAAAATTAGCCACTTTAACAACATTAATGAAGTGCTTGCAGACTTCAGTTTTATAAAATAACATTCAACCGAATTAGACTAAGATGAAAATATATTAAAAAATCGGTAGAAATCGACATATTTTCTAAATATCTTGTGAGCGTAGATTCGTTTGAGATCTTTAAAAGCCATTTTTTCTCTAGATGCATGTATGGACACCATTCATTACTGCAACTTTTACGTCAGGAAAGGATACTGTTCCAGCCCACCAGATGAACTTGTTGGAGATTATATGAAACGAAACTGTCCCTTATCATGCAAGTTTTGCAAAAAAGGTTGGTACTCTTGTCAAACTAGTTATAAAATGTGGAGATAGTTTCTTCGAATATTGATTCTTTTGCCTCAATATGATTTTTACGATTTTAGGACATGTTGAATCACGTTTGTTAAGTTTTTTACACATCTTTCATGCATTAGCTATCATTTATGTTTTCTAAAATGAATTGCAGAAACTTTTTCTTCATGCTATGTTGACAGAGATGAACTCTTTTAGGAGAGGCCACGCAGCCTCCACTCGTCACCAGACCTCCAAGGACAGGTATGAAAATAGACTCTTAATCTAACTAACATAAGCTAGATGCCTTTGAATTTTTTATTAAAACAACTATAAAATTACAAAATAGGCACTTATCAGTTGAAATTACAAGCAAATGTTACGAGTGCAAGTTCAAATATTTAAGTGTATAAATTTGTATGATGCTATAAAAGATTGGTGCGATTTTGTGGGATGTTACGATTGCAAGTTTACATATATAAATGTGTACAATAAACTGTATATTGTTTTAAAGATTTGTGTCAATAATGTAATAGATTTTGAAAAATAATGTTATCCTTTCATTTTGGTTGTTTCTTGACCAAAATTTTATGAACTATTTGAAAATAATTATATTTACTTTTGCCTTTTAGTCCCTTTCACCACACCAGGTATGATTTTTAGTATATTTGTGTAGTTTAACAAAATAAATAACATTAAAATGATAATCGTTGTTGTTCAGAGCTTTCTTATTCTATAAAGATTTCTGCTTAGCCCAAACTTTTCTAGTTTTTTTTGCTGATGCGAATTCGCTTTTGAAAAGTAATTTTTGTCTGACAGCTTGTATGGACACCATTCACTACTGCAAATGGTACAAGCAAAAAGGATATTGCACAGATGACAGATTCATGGACTATATGACAAGAAATTGTCCAAAAACTTGCGAGATGTGCAAAGCAGGTAAACTAAATCTACTTTTCTTTAGGAAATTAAATTGATTATATAACATAGCTTTTATGTAACCTATTTGATGAAAGTGGTAGATTTAGTGCTCAAGATAATGGCAAAAGATAGCTGCGTAGCGAGCGTAATCACTCGGATAGTATGGGTTCTGTAAGATGAGGAATTTTAGCTAGAAATATAGAGATTCAGAGAAATGTGTTGTCTTTGAGCCACCCTGACAGCTTATGTATCATACAAAATTCCATCAAAGAAAAGAAATGGAAGAGAAGTTGGTTTTTAAGTTTATATGAAAAACAAAAGTCCACCATTTTTGTTACCAAATTCCAGAGAATTAAACACCAAAAGACCATGGTTTTAACAAAAAAAGTTTAAATTCTGCTAGACCATTAACTGAATACGTTCAATTGTGACTCAAGAATGGTACAAAATAGTTAAATCTGCAAACCATATTCATCATAATGGATCAAAACTTTTACCTGGAATTTCGATAAATGCCTGCCTGTGATCTTCTGCAGCTTTAGAGCCAAGGTTGCAAAAACAATGAAACGTAGAAAATATTGAATTTCTTTTGACGAGCTTTAAATGGGCAATTCTATCAATGCTTATTTGAATCATATAATTTTATGTATTTTTTCTTTAAAGATTATTGATAAAAAACAATTTTCCATTTAGGTGCATTTGCCTCAGGAAAAGGTAAGTTCAAATGACGCTTATCAATTAGATATACTTAATGATGAAATAAAGGGAAGTTAGAAATGTTTGGAAACAGCAAGATAACAATTAAACGATATGATTACAACAATCCAGCCTACAGCCTCATTTTGAAAAAATTGTTAATTTTTTTGTTCAAAATTTTCTGACCTCAGATTCGGCATCAGAGCACGGATTTTAGTCTACTGTCTAAATTTAATTATTCTATTGCTCACGATATTGATTTTATGACGATATAAAGATAGATTTTAACAACACTAAAGAAATGCTTGTAGACTTTAATTTTATAAATGAACCTTATATGAAATTAAACTGCAATTTATCTTCAGACTGTTATATAATAAAGAAATTCAGATGGTTAACCAAACTTCTCTCGTATACCTGGCTGATGCAAATTCGCTTTTAAAATGTAATTTTGATCTGTCAGATTGTAAGGACATCGTTCCTAACTGCGATTTGTACAAGCTAAATGGATTTTGCTCAGATGAAAGATTCATAGAGTTTATGAGAAGAAATTGTCCAAAAACTTGCGATATGTGCAAATCAGGTATGTAAGGTAGTTTATTTAGAAAACTAAAACTACAATCAAGCAAAAAAGGAAAGGACAAGGAGAAAAGGAATCCGTCATCTGTGATTCGGTGAAGCAAAATATAAAACATGATCGATAGAACAGAAAATCGTTGTTGCAGTAATCTTACTACAAGTGACCTTGAAAACCTTTGTATAATTTACGAATGTCCATCACTTATTACCAGAAATATTTAAAATCACCATGCTAATTTGACTTACTCAAGAATCATAATTCAATCCCTTCAAAGGAGACCTTGTTATTCATTTCCAAAAAATTTCATTCCTGAAGCAAGTATTTTAGCATTTAAACAATTATTTTTCTAGCAATAGAAAACTTTGCTCATATAAAACATGCTATAATTCTTTCCCTAGGAGTTTTCGCCCCTGGTGAAGGTAAGAGTATATTCTTGACATTTTTGATTCAACAAACACAAATTCAACTATTTCTAAGATAATTCGTCTTACAAGATCTCTTTGGCCATCACTGATTTTGGCATTTCTATAGCCAAAGCTTAATGAATTTCAAAACTTCTTAATGAACTTTTAAAAAGAGCTGTTTCAGCTTTGTTATCCTAGCAGTTGAATAGTAGATGGAAGCTGACAAATTAAATTAATACATCTTCAACAAGCTGGAAGTCAAAAAAGCTTGGGCGTGGCATAAAATTTTGACCTTCAGTTTCATGTTTTGACCTTACCCGCGGATTTGGACCGAAGGAACTTGAACCCAACGATATTTTACTAATTATTTATGCATGATGACCTGTCAGATCTAATGTCTGTTTTACAGGAGGAGGGGGGGGGGGAGGGTGAGCGAACATATTCAAGATTGAATTTCAAAAATGTTGATTATTTCTTAAATAAAAGTAACAACGATTTAGAAATATGTGATACATTTTTTTTACACAATTTTTTTTCAGATGCATGTATGGATACTATTCACTACTGCGACTTTTATGTAAAGAAAGGATATTGCTCAAGGCCTGAAGGTGGTATTATTGGCGATTACATGAAACGAAATTGTCCCTTGTCTTGCAAATTCTGCAAAAAAGGTGAGTATTCACCATTCCTATGGACACATCAATTCTGTTGAGGGTATTTTACAATTGCTAAGACCAGGTTGCACACTTGGCATTCAAGGAAGACTTTAGTATATCTAATGCCACAATATTTTATTTGATGTCTTTAAACAGTACAATATATTGATAAAAATCATAAATTGAATGAGGAATGATCTGATAGAAGTTAAGACAATACTTATTGTCAGGGAAGATAGCAAGATATGATACAGAAATAAAAATTTTATATTAAGCCAGAAGTAGGATCGATAAAAATTGGTGACACTTATACTTGTTTTTTCCTCAGGTGTTGCCACGCAACCACCACTTGCCACCAGACCTCCAGTTACAGGTATCAGATAAAATGATTATTTAAGTTAGATGGGTTATATTATTTAGTGCAAGCGCAAAAGGTTTTGTTTAACTTTCAAGAATAATACCATTTTCTTTCTCTTTTGCTTCCATACGTGCAGATAGTAAAAGGACTGATGTAAACTGAAATTTCTTGTATAGATACTCCAAAGTCTAAGTTTGTCATCCTCACAATGCTGGATATATGCGATTGAAATTTTAGGCAAGAGCAACACTTTCTTTTTGACATGTTTTGTTATGCCTTGGCAAAACTAAACAAATGTTGGCATAAAACATTGTCCAAGACTGTTTGATAGATCATTATTCGTTTGGCCATCGTGTTGTAAGATGTTCGCAGAGGTTTTATGATATTCAATTTTCATCAAAAATTCCGTAAAACATATATCTTTGTCTCATGTTTGACCAACAATTTTGTAATCATTTCACAAGCTCATAAAACAATGCAATACTGGTGTATAAAATACATGCTCTTAAGCATGACGTGATCAAAAGTGCTATAACTGACAAAAATATTTGAATCGCTGGACAACCTTGACAAACAAGCTACCCTAGGATATTTGCAGTAGCGAGGACATTAAAATTAGTTGCAGCAGTATCTCTACAGCATTAATTTCGTAAAACTCGTGCGTAAAACAAGATACTTAAAATATGCTTAACTGAGAGCATTCATCTAAAGTATTCCTGTATTATCAAATGTTTTTTAACATTTTTCTTTTATTCTAGTTCCATTTACAACACCAGGTAAGCAAGTATTTTACATAAAACACATTTTTATCTAATTGGTATCTTTCCTAATCCTCTTCTAATTGGCTAGAAGGAAATTTTTTCATGGTTTATTTTTCACTGATTGTCATTTTCAGACTGCATGGATACAATTCATTTTTGCGATTGGTACAAGAATAAAGGCTACTGCACAGACGATAGATTTATGGACTACATGTTCCGAAATTGTCCCAAAACATGTGATATGTGCAAACCAGGTAAAAATGTAAATCTATAAAGAATAGATGACCTGGATTCTAAAGAAAGACTGAGTTTGAATCAGCTTTACATTACATATAGAAATATGCATAAGTGCTAATGTTTGTAGCATTCGAGGCTTGACTTAAGTCGAACCGGATTTTGATTGCAAAAGTGCATTCAAAAATAGGTGGAGATAAATCTACTAAAATGTCAATAAGGTTTTGTTACCTTCATCGACATAACAACGTACTCGACATTACAACATCATTCCTTAAGCTTTAGTACTAGTAAAAGATTTAACAAATAATCCAAATAAATGTATATTGGATAGAATATTTTAATGATGAAATTATTTTTCAATCATATTGAATATTAAAATGTATCATAGCATTGTGCAGAAAACGCATCTGATGTTAACCTGCAGATTTATCTTTGGCATAACAAGTACAATTCTTTTTTTCTAGATGTATTTGCATCAGGAAAAGGTAGGGCTAGGAATAAAAAAATTCTAAAACTGTTGGACACTAGCATAAGACTGAGCCTAGGTCTATCTCTTGGTATTAGAATAATTGACGTTAAAATTCATTAAACACATATCGAAGCAGATATCGATGTTTTCAAGAAGAATAGTTGAAGAAATAATTATCTAGTGAATTTGATTATTTACCAGGCTAGTTTACGAGAAATAAGCTGTTAGAAATTAGCGTTAGAAAACTATTTCTTTTGCATTTGTGATATTTTAGACTATGCATTTGTGATATAGTAGTCTAAAATATCACATGCAAAAAGAAATAGTTTTCTAACGCTAATTTCTAACAGCTTATTTCTCGAGATATGTAGAGTAGAGTAAATGTAGAGCAGATATGTAGAGCAGATATGTAAATTAAATATATACAGAAACAATTGAGCATCATATGAGACCTGATGTTCTCATAGCAGAGGTATTAATTGTATAGCTCCTTGGCGTGTGCCCTTGTTTCATACACTGAAGAAACGGGGCCAATGTGTGAAACCAAAATTTCACTGCTAAGACTTAATTTAAACTACTTCTAATTTTCACTAAACTTTCCAAGCTGACATAAAAAACGAAATCTTGAGGCATTAATTTGCCCAGCTTTATAACTTATAGGTTATTATAAAGGGTGTCTCTTTATATTGTGTTTGTTGCATAATCTTTCTAGATAACTAAACGGGCAAAATTCTTAACTGTTAGTTTGTTGGTCCTTTATCAACATCAGAAGTTAGAGGTCGCTGATTGGAGACAATAATTCTTATAAGGACTTTATGATGATTTCCTAAACATTCGAAAACTCTGACACGATAATTTATTTTTTCAGATTCCTGTATTGATACAATCGGACACTGTGATTACTATGTAAAGAAAGGCTATTGTACACACAAACGATACGCCAGCTACATGAAGCGAAACTGTCCTAAGTCTTGCAAATTTTGCAAACCAGGTAATATGTACATATTGTATGGACACCATGGCCATATTATATCATTTTGGATTTTGGAAATCTAGCATCAATCTGTTCCATAAACATTGTTTAGTATTTACGATACGTCCGTATGCAATATTGAAAATATCAGTTAGACGATAGTTTTTGCATAGAACCAACTTCCTGACGATATATCAAGGAAAGATTTGTTTGCATTTTGAAGTAGAATACATTTCATTGTGTATTTGACAAATAAAGCACTAAATATGCTATTAACATAAATAAAAGATGATTTTAGTAAGTATTTGACAAAGATCTTTTGTATTAAAGGGCACTCCAATATGACACTAAATAATTGAATTCGTTGATAAATACTTGCTGCAAAAGAATTTACCAAAGTACTCAGTTATTTGGTGCCATATTGAAGAAGGATTTTTTAAATTTCTTTTCGAATATTCTGATAATCTGTATGTCTATAATGCAATCGATTTAATTGAAAACAAAAATTGTCTCATTTAAATGCAGGTGAAGCAACTCAGCCACCTGTAGTGACAAGGCCACCAAGAACAGGTATGACTGAGATGAACATCAGCAGTTTTTCAATTATGCAGAAAATAATATAACATACTACAACATACTTAAAGCTTTTTCGTCTGACACTCCTCAGAGCATAAAACGTCAGAATAGGTTCCGAAAAAACACGATGGAAAAATATATACCCAGTTATGTTGTAAATATAAGTATGTTGTAAAATGTTTGCTTTTTTCAAAGCCATTTTCAAATTCTGTACCGCAAAAAAATTGTTCACAATATAACATACCTGAAAACTGAAATTGTTCTGGGCTTCACTGCAACTTGAAACATTATTTGCTTTACAACCCAAGCACATCTATTTGCATGTAATTGCCAGCATCAATAAATCTATCGTTAGATATTTCAAAGATACAAATACATTTTGGTATTTTTTTGAGGAAATAAAAATTAGCTAATAATAACGAGCTGATTTTATGTATATTATCTTTAAATCAATATCGTCTCTCATGATTTGCATTTTCTTCTTCAACAGTGCCCGTTACAACATCAGGTATATTCTAGATTTTATCAATTTTCATGTCATGGCTAATTCTAAAATATATTGCCACCTTCTTTCGAGGGATATTGGATAAAAAAATTCCACAGCTTGAAGCTGAGATAGCGGAACTGCTCCAAATTCAAATAGCTAAAGCAAGTTATACATAATTCTGGAAATTTTACCGAAATTTTGTACTAAAAACAACATATATTAGAGTTTTAATTTTTTTTCCTTTTTGTAAACAATATCGTCACTTGCAAAGCAACAAGATTGGGCTGTGATGATAGGAGTACCTTAAAAACATGTGCAATAAAAGCATTCCACCATATTGCAAGATTTCATTAAGATGAGCGTAGAGTTATTTACGTTTTGTTTAGAATTCTAGAACTGATCATTTCGTCACTGTTATAAAATAATATACTAAATGCTGTGGTCGAAAATTTTTGAGCTGCAACAGGTCTCAAGGCGAAGGCCACTTCTTGATATGTTGCCACTTAATTCAATCGGGTAAATGTGTCACAGATCGTCAAGACACTCTTTTCCAATCCATTGCAATGTAGTTTAGGGAAAGATAATGCAGTAAAATGCTTAAATCAATATTTTACGTTTCCAAGATAGACCTGTACAAATAAAACCAACGTTTCCAAGATAGACCGGTACAACCAAGTGCCAAAAATGACTGGCGTAAAGTATGCAACTTTTCCATAGAATTCAAGACCAATAATGATCGACTTGGTAACATCTAAATTTCATCTTTCCTACGTTTTTTCTATCTTTTCTTGCATAAAAGTATAGAATAAAATAGCCCTTCATTGCTTCACAAAAATTGTTTAAATCTAGATTACTATGTCTTTTACAATGCTGTTGCCATTTCTCGTTTGTCAAACCCTGTGTAATACCTTTGCTCAATGATAGAAATTTTGCCTAAAAGTGGAAATAGTAGAGAATAGATATTTTGATTACAAAGAATCAGGTATTTTGGTGTTCTGCATAATCTGAGCAAATTATGAATTGAAAGATAGATCAAGAAGCTTATAGATCAGACAATGATTCTGCTATTTCACGTCAATTTCAAGTAAAATTCGATACAAATGCGCAATACTAATTCAAATTGCCATTCTCGTGTAGCATTTTTTTGTAGACTGCATGGACAAAATTTCTCACTGCAAATATTATCAGAAAAAGGATTATTGCACACAACAGTTTGTAAACTACATGAAACGAAATTGCCCTAAGACATGTGGGTTCTGCACTCCAGGTTTGTCAATTACACTAAATAAAATCCAATCCAAGAATCTATGAAAATTCATTTTAACATGGATTTAATACCTTGATTAGGACAGTAAATTTCTTTACTTAATAATTTTTATACATTTGCAGATACAGAGAATCTTATTCAAGACGGAATTAGGAGTTTAACTTAACTTTACGTTTTATTTTTTTGTAGGAGGTACAAAAAGACCAACAAATGCCCCAGCAACGGGTGTTGTCACGAATCCCCCTTCGGCAGGTAAAGGTTTGAATGAAATTTAACAAAATGATAAAAACCACTCAAAACTCATTTAGACTGTGTATTTCATATCAAGGAAAATCAACATACATTTGTAGTTTATAATCATATCCATCGAAAAAATATGATTTAAAGAAGATTCAGATAAAAATATTTTTAAATATCTTTGAGCAATTTCCGAAATCAAGGTTGATCCTGATCGTTTATTTTTAATCCTGTGACTTTAGCTTTACAAATGAAAAGTTTTCGAAGTTTCCATTTCCATTACAGGAACATGTGGAATGCCAGATATTGCTCAAAGTAGAGTTATAGCGGGTGAAGACGCCAAAAAAGGAGCTTGGCCTTGGCAAATATTGATGTTATTCATGAACAGCCCTATGTGTGGAGGAGCGCTCGTTGCACCAAACTGGGTAGTAACAGCTGCTCATTGTGTGTCCGGGAAGAGCGCAATGCGATTCAAGATCAGGTAGGACATTCAACTTTGTCAAACGATATATGAATGTATCAAAACCAAATTGATACTGCCGATGACTTGCTAGATACTGTGTGGTAGCTTGACTTGAAATTCGAAGCTAATTTTAAAGACAATTGAGATTACTTAAGCCACTTAAGCCATTCTTCAATAAAAAGTGGCCAATCAATGAGCTTTATTCGACTCTTAAAATAACTGACACTCCTAAAATATTGTGAAAATTAGGCGTCTTTTAATTCAATTTCAGGGTTGGAGAGCATAAATTCACAGTTTCGTCAGAAGGGAAGCACCAAGATATTCAAGTGCAAAAAGTCATACCACACCCACAATACTCAAGACAAACTCTGAACAACGATATTGCATTGATGAAATTATCCTTACCTGTAACATTTGGGAAATATGTGAAACCAGTTTGTTTGCCAGACCACGACCAGGAGGTCCCTATTGGAACAAAATGCTTTATAACAGGTATCACAATTTACAGAATACAGCCATTTGTGGACCCAGTAATAATGGTTGATAACTAGGCTAACTGTGCTTCTATCCTCGACCCCAGGGTGTGCCACTACCTATAGAAGTAAACATACACAATCCAAGGTATATTAGTCTCGACGCATGGAATATGTGGCATAACGCTGTGAATGCAAATTAGTAACTTGTCACTTTCAAAACCTTTTATCAAATTGCACCAGTTTTTTAATCTCTTTTTTGTTCGCTCTTTCGTCATTCCATCAATACAAACAATTCTTAACTTCCGAAATACAGGGAATTCTTTTGCATATTTTTATGGGACAAACAATGAGGAAGATTTCCATAAAAATATCTTTTTTTTCTTTTCAAGTACTCTCACTTCAAGCTTGTTTAACATTAAAAACTTACCATTGAACTTATCTTAAGTTTGCTTTACTTAAAATCAATACTTTTTAATAGACAAAACAGTGAATGAAACCCGGTTATGACAATGTTAGAAGTCATATATTCAATGTTCCTCCTGATTTTAGCGTCAAATACTTTAACAAAGTTTATATGGCTGTCGAGCAATACAAATTAAGTTAATAGATTAAGAATGCTTAGAAGCAGTATCGATTTTTGGTTAAATTTCATATGAAAATAGAAATAAATCTACAAGCAATTTAAATATCTGCAGTCTTGTTCGATTCGTATGTAGCATTACTTTACGAGAATGAATTTACATTGAATTGCAGATGTGTGATTTAAAAGAATATGTAATAAATTTTATTTTTGTCTGAAATTGTTAATTAGCTTTCTTCTTATGTTTATTAGGTTCATTTATATCAAATTGTTTACCAGCTTTATGGTTTATATCTTTGCTATGCTGTAAAGATAATTTTCTATATTTCCTAGGAATCTTGATATCAAAAGATATATATATTTATACGCCATAAGCCAAACGGGTCGACGTAAACTTTAAAGAAGCCAATGTCGTAGTGCTTTGGAAAAATTAACGATTCATGGTTTTTGCTGTGGTCTTGTAGCATTATGCGTGGTATTGAAATGTTAACAGTGGATAAATATTTTCTAGGATGGGGAAAGATAAAGCACCCTGGAAGAATGCATCACACTTTGCAGCAAGGGAAAATGCCGGTTGTGAGCAATGATAAATGTTCTAGTCTTAATACAAAGAACCTTGGAATAAAGGTAAATATGCCAATTTTTCTAAAACACACTCCTCTAAATGATATGAAATTCAAAAACAAAGTTTATATCTAAAACCCAGAAATGTATCCTATCATATTATGCTGAAAATATTCGATTTGCAGGAGCACCCAAAGTCACTATCAAGGAGTGATAGGATTGCTCTGAATATTTCCATTTGATCATTAAAACATTTTCAAAAGATATGTCACAATCGGCATTAGGTTTTGCAACCTGTCAAAATAATTTTGTTCCACTGTGGTGCTTTATTGCTTAACAACTTGATTTTACTTCTGAAGTTATAACATCTGAATTGGGAAAATCGTGCGAAATAAATGGGAAATTGCGTTAATCGGGAAATGAAATGGGCGGTGATACCGAGAAAATGAGAAAATGGATAGAGAAGGGCCTGTTGATCAATTCAAGGAGGATTTGGAACTTCAATAAAGTGCAAATTATACATATTTTCAAGCCCATTATTACTGGAATTAAAATTCATAGTTCTGATTATTGAAATAATATTCTCCAGATAACGGAAAATATGGTCTGTGCGGGTCATGGCGGTTCTACTAGAGTGAGCGGTTGTCATGGTGATAGTGGAGGCCCATTTGTTTGCCAGACTGGACCTAATGGCAGCTGGGTTCTTCATGGTGCAGTCAGCTGGGGATCTGGACGCTGTGATGCTACACAGGGCTATACCGTTTTTGCAAGGGTTTCAAAATATAAGAAGTGGATTGATCAAATGATGGCCAGAAACTAAATTGCTGCTTTTATTTTACTTTTCATTACAATTCATAAATACAATTGAAATGAAATTGAATGTTAAACAAGATTTGACTTGAAAACATCTGACAACTACAAAATTGAATATGCCTCATTTCTTTTTTCTCACCTAACTTTCTTCATAAGTGCGTTGTACTCAAGCAGCTAACACAAATTAACTTAGTTGTTTACTTTTAACTTTCATATGCCTTATTTTGAGTCAAATAAATATTGTACTTGGGGAAATGGAAAAGCAACTGAATAGCACATTTATATGTTCATTTATGTAATTTCTCTAGTTGGCAACCTTGGGAGAAAAGTAAAATTCTAAACGAGTATTTTGTCGAATGTGAAATAAAAATGAAAAAAACTCAATTGAATAACTTCACAGTATCAGTAAGTAAAGTGAAGATCCTTGTGAATCACGGAACAAATCTATTGACTTTTAAGTAGCAAAAGCAGGTAATATGTTAGTAGTTATTAGAAATGAAGCTTCTATCCGCACCAAGGAATGTTAGAGAGGGTTTATACAATCCTTATACAATCCATCCACATGCTCCTGATGTTTGATCACCTAAGAGTTGATTAAAAAAAATTAGTATAATCTTTCAGAAAGCTGGATGTCTTCGTTTCTACACTAGCTATACTCGAATGAAAAGTTTTTCATGTAAATCCATTTTTAACAAGCTGGGCGATTGCAATCTTTTGCAAGTCGACAATCGAATTCTCAAACAATTTTTTCTCAACATTTTCTCCAGTATTCTAGCATCATCACCCATGTGCCTGTTGTGATGACTTCTCATTAAGATTTAAGGTTAAGCTCAGGAGGGTGCTAGACGAACAATAATGGACTGAGGGTATGCAGATTAAAAAGATATTTCAATAAACAGGGGCAAGGCCAAGAAATTCAAAAAGAGGGGGCTCGAATTGGTAGCATTTTTAGACCAATAAACCAACTTTTGGAAAGCGCACTAAAATGCTTCATGATATTTTTTGCCTTTGATTTTATGGGGGTACTCGTTATTCTAAAGGTACTTTGGAAGGAGGCGGTGAGAGGTTGTTCGAGGCCCCATGTATTTTACCTGTAAGAAGAGGCCTCCCTGTGAGCGAAGCAAGCTGAGGTGCACGGACCCGGTAGGGCTGAAAATTCTCGAAAAGAGCCTACAACCTGCTATTAAAACATGAGCGGTATGCAAGGCCATTTCATCTCCATGAAGAGCTTAAAAAGATTAATCTTTCAAAATAACCATTGTGTACGGGAACCAATAACGCAAATAATTCAATATTTTAGAGGGAGGGAGTTGGAGCAATGTTGAAAGTGATAGCGATATTCCATTAGAGACTAGTGAAGCTGACGAATTGGACTATGGAAGTAGCGAATTATCATTTCATATACTTGGCAATTCCGAACCTTATTCTGATCTTGACAACGAAAATAATTCTTCGTTACTCTTTGGTGTTGAAAAAGCAGATCCTGTTTGCAAACTTAATGACCTGATCCGCAGAGAGGAGATTGACAAATATAGGATCCTATACAAATTCTTAAATGATGTAATTGAAATTCACTATGACCCTTTTCATAAATATGATAAGGATGTAAACGAATTTTTTAACAAAATTACATATCTTGTTGGGCGGAGTGTAGCATGCTTCATTAGAGGTCCTATGAGTTTCAATGAAGGCAGAGGAAGTCACATAGATACAGAGAAGAAGAAGCACATGAATCTTGGTGGTCCTTAATAATGGAAACTTTTCATTTTGAATTCCAGTTAAAACTACAATTACAAATCTCACTATTGCAAGGTAATTTGTAACTGGCTAGGCTGTGTTTACAAATTAAAAACTATTACAATCGTAGTAATGAGAAAAAAAATGTTAAAAGGGGAGTAGCTCTGGATTAGTCCAAGTTTTGTTTCAACGGCAGAATAAATAGTGTGTGGTGCGAATGAAGATGCTTGTAAGTTTGGAGAAGATGAGATAGCGTTTCTGTTGATGATCAATGGACAAAGAGTCACACATGTCGATGAATGAGCTGCAGGAGTTGCCAAAAATACCAAGTGAATGGAAAGATTGACAAACGAGACTGACTTAAACTGACGTTTTAAGTCAGATACGAGGGTGGCATATTTCTCTGACTTTCTGACAGCATTGTAGTTGAGATTTGTTTCAAAGCCTATGGTTAGCTCTAAAACGTACAGACAGTTTTCTTTAGTTTTGAGAAGTAAGTCAGGGCGTAGTTGATCTCCAGTTATGATAGAAGGGGAAAGAAAGCCTGGTAAATCTGCGTAGAGAGAAGACCCATTTATTGCTTGGAAGGAAGTGTCTAGAAAGTTAAATGCAGAATTATGACGCCAAGTATAGCGGCCTTGGTCAAGGTACACTTTGCATCCAGCAATAACGTGTAAAAGTGTGTCTGGAAGAAGACAGAATTCACAGTCAGATGTTTGACTAAGGTTTCATTTCAGCAGATTTTTACAAGTTGGAAGAGTGTTGTTAAGATACTAGATGGTAAAGTTAAAGATGTTACTAGGCAAATTGCTCTGTGTACTTGACCAAATACAGTTCAGCTTTTCCAGTGAATGTTTCAGTAGGAAGGTAATTGTAGTAGCTCCCTGAGATGGTAAGTTTTGAGAGACGTTCTTCATTGTCTAATTTGACAGCCTTTAATACCTCTTTAGTATTACGATAGATGTCGTACTGTATGTTCGTGCCATGACTGGTGTTTTTCCATAGGGTTTGAATGTCAATGTTAGGAGAAGATTTTAGGGCATTGCGACAGACAGTTTGGCATTGCGTAAATTTGATAGAAGGCAGTTGTAGATTTAGGCCAAACTGATTTTTTGAGAGGATTATTCCATTCAATGTTGCAAAAACAGGAAGATCAAGCCACTGGTGAATGTAATTGGAAACAAGATTGTCTAGGTTTTGGACAACCCAGGTTTTTGGTAGATCTGCAACAGTAAAATGCCATGAAACTTTTGACAGAATATAACGATGGTATAATAGCAGTTTGTTTTTAGGATGGAGAGGTAAGTCGTCAATATCCTTCATAAGAGTAGAGAAAAGTGAAACGAGTTTAGATTTATGATCTTGGTTACTCATTTCAAAATCAAAGAAACGACCAAGATACTTAAAGGAATCGCCATTTTTGACAGCAGGTACTATTTGGCTGCAGATGAAAAGTTTTGGTTCAAATTGGAGGGATCGCGTAGAGTGTTTCTTGACATAAAAGGTGACACATTTTTCAACTCTGACAATGAAGTTTGCCCATTGACACCATCTGGTTAGGCAGTTTAATAAGAGTTGGTTCTCCTTTTCTCCACTTGTAATAACAGCAGCATCATCAGCAAACTGAAACCAGTGTACTGGCTGAAACATGCGGTCATTACCATCATGGGGGGAGAAATCAAGCTGCTTATATTTATCTGATTTGATGTATTGTATGAACGTGTTGAAGCAAAGGTTGAAAAGAAGGGGGCTGAGGCAGTCACCTTGCAATACGCCGCGGTGAACGGGAATTGCAGTGGTTTGGAATTTATCGGTTATGTTACCGGTCTTAAAATCAAGATATAAGCTTGAGATCAATGATTGAATTTCCGAAGGTATATGATGATAAGCAAGAATAGCTGGTATCAGCTTGTGGTGAACTTCGCCAAAGGCGTTTTTGAGATCCAGCAAAGATACCACTAAAGATCGTTGCTTAATGCGAGCTAATAATAATAATAATAATAATAATGAAAACATTTTTATTTTATATTCTTCTACCTACAACAGTAACCTCACTTTACAGGTAGTTACTATCGGCTAGCCTGGTGACAAGTCTACTAATTTTACAAAAGTTATAACATTTGAATAAAATAATAATCATGGAAACATTTCATTTTCAATTCAACTAAATCTACAATTACAAATCTCGCTATTAGAAGGTAATTTGCAATTGGCTAGCCTGGTTTTACAAGAAAAAACTATAACAATCGTAAGGTAAAAGGAAAAACTGAGAAAAATAAAATAAAACAACTAAAGTTAAAAAGGATGTAATTCCGGATTTGTCCATGGTTTATTTTTGCAACAAAATATTTAGTACGTAGTACGGATGGCAATGTTGGAAAGTTCAGAGATGAGATACCGTTTTTGTTGTTGATCGATGGAGAGAGAGTCACACATTTTTAAGAAGGAAATGCAGGAATTGCCAAAGATGCCAAGAAAGCTCATAGAAAGATTCACAAAAGAGACACATATTACAAAGGTAATTTGCAATTGGCTAGCCTGGGTTTACAAAGAAAAAGACTATTACAAGCACAAACAAAATAAATTAACAAAAAAAAGGGAAAAGTGTGTTCGTCATTGTTTGTTTTAGGAGTCGTCAGTAGCAGAGATCGTTAGAATTGAAGAAGTTCAGGATTATTCCAAGATTTATTTTGCGGCAGAAAATGTAATAGGTAGTACGGATAGTTAAGTTGGATAGTTTGGAGATCATGAAGCGGAGATGATTCTCGCTGATGTCTAGAGCGTTGCACATGTCGATGAAAGAGGAGCAGGAGAGACCAAAGATACCTAGGGAACTGATAGAAAGATTAACAAACATGATAGAAGAATAGGCTGAGCTTAGGCTGTGAATAAGATTCGAGTATTTCTCTCTTTTGCGGTTAGCATTAACATCCAAGTTAATTTCATACAAGTATCCTACTGTAAGCTCGAGTATGAATAGCCGATGGTCAGAAGTGACTAGAAGTAGATCAGGACGGAAAGAGTCTCCTGTTATGATAGAGGGTGAGAGATAACCTGAAAGGTCTGCGTAAAGAGAGCAATTAGGTATAGCTTTTAAAGACTGTGCTAGGAAGTTCAATGCAGAGTTATGGCGCCATGTGTAACGGCCTTCTTCGAGGTATGTTTTGCAGCCTGCAACAATGTGAAGTAACGTTTCTGGCATATGGCAAAGAGAGCAATCGGACGACTGAGTAATGTTCCATTTAGATAGGTTTTTTCGCGTGGCAAGGGAGTTGCTAAGATATTTGAAAGTAAAACTGTAAATGTTCTTGGGCATGTTGCTTTGAGCCGTGGTCCATATTTTAGAGGCTATAGGAAGAGAGTGGTCAAAGATGAAGG